TGCCCATCTGTTTCGGTTGTTTGCAAGGGCGTCGATATGGGGAGGGGGTGAGGGGGGTTATTACTCCCCTCAAGAATAATAATTTGTAGGTATGTAATTGGTATAATAAGTAGACATTTATGGCTGTTTGATTCGTGTATTGTTTGATCAAAGAAGTTTACTTTCGTTTCTAATCCTAATATACAGTGTGGAACACTAGATGGTGACACCCCTGTATTTCTCTCATTTTTGAAAGCAAAAATTTATTTTTGGTACAGGCGTAGACCTTCATTAGCCGTACTTTTCGGAATACTCGTGACAGCCTTAAGCCCAGTCTACTGCGCGATCCCGAGAGAGAGGCAATTTCTAGATTTTTTGCTTCGCCGGAGAAATCGATTTAAACCCTCCCTAGTAAACCGTATTTCAATGCAAAATTCGAATTTTGAATGATTTGTTAATGTGATTTCAAGTCCGATTTTCGATTAATGCATGGTTCTGAATGAAAAGCTACAGAAATGATGAATTAGTCAGAATCAATGAGGTAAATGATTGAAATATCTGAAATTGAAAATTATAATTTTACCAAATGTACGTTAACCGAATTTTGCCTCCTTTACTACAATATCTCTCGAAATTCAAAATTCGAATTTTGCATTGAGACTCGGTATATAAGTAAGATCAAAATCGATTTCTAATCAACTTTTTCAAATAACTTTTTTCGGTATCTTCAACGCGAAGCAGAATAATCTACGGTAATCGAATTTAGCCTTTACTAGAATATCTCTCGAAATTCAAAATTCGAATTTTGTGTTGAGACTCGGTATATAAGTAGGATCAAAATCGATTTCTTAGCAACTTCTTCAAATAACTTTTTTCGATATCTTCAACGTGAAGCAGAATATCTAGTATTTGCTCTTTTCGCGAAATAGCATGTAGCAGGCTGATGATGGTTAAGGCTGTCATTAGGGCTGCATATTGCGATATGTGCGGCCATAAAGTGGAATAATATTGTGGCAACACTGTATATGGTACCATGACTGACATGACACATGACAGACATTGACATAAAATCAATATCACTATCACGAGGGAATCATTATTAGACATTCATGAAAACGTGTACTTTTTCATAAATGAATAATAGAACTAAACCACAGTTTTATTACATAGAGGTCTACGTCTGTACCAAAAGTCCACGTCTGTACCAAAAATCAAATCTCTGCATTCATAAATGTCGAAAATACAAGGGTGTATACAGGGTGTTCCTTAATGGTATGGTAACATTCAAGGGGCCGATTTTTCGATGCATAGATTTTTTTTTGTTCACCCTGTTTCGCTTTTCGTGATAGCAATATTCAGTCTGCTATGTGCTTAATCGGTATACAAATTTCAAAATGTTACATACTGTGGTTATCCAGTAATAGATGTCCTAAATGGAGTACTCAGACATCAAGATTTGAAGTCTGATGTCGTTTTTCCGTTTTTTTCTCAAAAACTAAGCGTTCTATCGAGTATCAACAAGAGGATCTTCTTGTACATAGTTGAATAGCTTTTAATGAAATTTGAAAATTGTTTGTCGTTGCTCAATTTTAAGTAAAATATAAACAATAATATTCCCGTAACGGTGCCACTGGTAGAGAAAATAACAATTTTTGTACATCAGATAATGCACTTTGATGCTTTAAAGACGTGTACCAAATTTCATGAAGATGTATACAATATTTTCTCAGTTATTATAAAAAAACTGAATATTTTTCAAAACTTCATCACCCTGTATCTCAAAAGTTAAGACGTTTAGGACATACGTTCATATGAAGTTTTCTTCTTAAAATGAGTCAAATAATCACCCACTCGAATATTAGCATGTCTAAGGAACACCCTGTATATTATTTATGGCTCTATAAAGTGATTTTTTTTCGTTATCTTTACCAAAAAGACATAACCCTCCCCCCCCCCCAAGATAAAAAACTATCGACGGCCCTGGCGGTTTGACGATCGAAAATTCTGCGACATGTCCTTTCGGCGAAGTGTCATGGACCCGTTGGAGGTACGACAGTAGTGCTACTACAAAAGGATGGTTACTTACCTAATAAAGATGTAGGAACAGAATTTCAGAGACCGATATATCGTAACATTGTTGCCAGGTATTATGACTCAATGTCATGCTTTATTCTTGACAAAATCATCATAGAGTGTATTCACTCATCATATCCCATCACAAAAGTGTTCCTCATCTGATACTGATATATCTGTGAATACTGTCGTATTACAGAGATCTGGAATGAATTGATTTGTCCTAAGTGTCAGAACGAGCGAGATAGTACTGTTTCGGCCGACCTAAGTACTATCGATAGTAGGTCTCACTCGGTCTATTTAGAATTGAGGCAGGCAATCTGGAAAAGTCGAACTAGATGTCACTGGCAAGGTTGGAGGTCTTGTCAATTATCAATTTCTGTTTTGGAAGTATATTTATTCACGAAACTTCATCAATAATCGATGATGAGTCAATATTTTGTATTATTCTTGAACGTCTGAAATAAGCACATTATACTGGTTCGACTTCACTTCTCATTTATATTGTTATCGTGCACTCCATCGTCATGTAGATGACATAATATAATATGACCTCCAACAACACTCCTGGCGTTTAGTTTCTTGCTATTTGCTGAATGAACAATATAAAATTCCACTGTCTATCTTCTTGTACTAAATTGTAAGAAACAATTAATTTCACATAATCTATAATCGACCAATCAATTTCGTTTTTCGAAAGTTGATAACTTTCACATTTCACTAATAGTCAGGATAAAGAAAGGTGTCTACTTCATCATTAGCTATGCCCTCTACCTACAAATTGACTTTCGTGAGCCATCCTTTTGTAGTAGTATTTTTCTTGAGTTATGTGAGCTCAAATATCAGCGTACATGCATCTGACAAGTAGTTTGATAATTATTCATTGATTAGTAAATGTATTCGATGTAGGTATGCATTGAAGTTTGTTCATAGATGTCGTTAGGTAAAAATTGTTCGTATTTCCTAGCTAGTTAAGTCGCTCAATATCGCATCAATCGAATTGAAACCACCTTTTAACCGCTAGTAGTTATGACAGATTGATGAACTGTAATTATTATTTCGTACAACTACTTGTTGTAAATGTATTTTCGCTGATTATACCGCAAACGACCACCAACTTAACGTTCGAAAATTGTCTATAGTACCCACATAAAATCATAGTGAATCTTGTGACTCGTTATTTCACTCCCATATTGAGACATGATTCAGGCATTGCTGTTGACTAGTTATAGAACGGTGAATTTTTGGAATTCATTGCCAATGGAAGTATTCCCAAGATTGAATTGAGATTCGCCTTTTGACCATGGAAGGAGACACATGGCGTCTCCAGGTCAAAAGTCAGGTTAATGTGTGTGCAAGTCTATAATTTTTCTAATTACCTGATCTGGATTAAAATCCAATATTTATTGTGAAGTTTAATAAGTGTTTGTGAAAATTATCAAGCCCTTTTATCTCTACGCCGGTATAGAGGCCGGATGGTGACGGATTCACCGGAAAAAGGGGCCATTCTTGAAATCAAACGTGCTCAGCATGAGCACATACGATAGAATCTTTGACATTGATGAACTCGGCTTCCGGGCATGGTGACGGACTACGGTGTCTTTAGTGCCATAACCATATATATTCTTGAAAAAATTAATTACCTGATCTGGAGAAATTGTTACCGAAAGGAGACAAAAATCCAATAAACCCAAAAGAAGAAGAATAAGTATTCCCAAGAACTTATAACCTCCAAAAGTTTTAAAAAATGTACGTACGATGTTCAAGAACATTGAAGGAATTCCCTTTCGTGCGCTCCAGAAATGAAAAAAAAAAACATAAACCCTCCTGTAATATTGATAAATTTCCCTAATTATGTGAATCATTACTTGGATAGCATCTCAAACCGAGATCTAACTAACAGTTTCAACTTGTTCAGAAATTTGACATGATATTTTCCACTACCACCTCATGTTTTTATGGTAAACACCTGATTTTCTTGTGGGCACTACATTGCATCTCTAAATGTATTCATCGATTTTAGTTGGTGTTGTTCGTGGCTATATAAAATATTACTTGTAGTTTTAAGCTGTTTAGCTTGCGATATGTCTAGTTATGTAATGTGCTGTAAAACTGTGTTGAATATATCATAAAGTTTTGGCAAATAAACTAACAATTGAATCGAACTGGCCGCTTATTTGATTCATTATTATCTTATGGCCTTCATGTTCATTCAAAGGGCCGAAAAATCAGTATTGGTTATTACATTCATTACCGTAATTACAGTAATGTACATTAATTTTCCTAAGTCTCCATATTATTCGGGGCGTTCTGTTAAAGATAGATGGAATAAAAAAAATATATTTTATTTCATCCACCAATTATTCCAAAAAAATCCGAATGATTTGATGATAAGTTTTTTAGATTGATGAGGATCTATCCAAGGGAGAAATTTTGATTTCTTTCATTTAATAATGCTCTTCCATGATGGGTTCAGCAGATAAAGCATTATTGTACTGAATATTACAATCATTACATTAGTGGTATTCCCGATATCCCCTATATTATATCTCTTCGTAGCCATACTCACGAAATTGACATCGCCTACGCAGTAAATGATATTTTCATCATATCATTTAAGAATGGCGAATTTTTAATAAACAAATTGAACATGTCACAATTGTCTGATGTTTAACTCCAGGTATCTTCATCATAAAGTGTTATATTCGCTAGAATAGTTTTTTTGTATTTTTACATCAATATATTTCATTTTGAATTATTGGGCTGCTACCAACTCCACCGACGCAATTAACATTCTAATTATTGAGTATTTTCTGCTAGTAAACAATTAATGAAATGATATTTTATAACGGTTTTCGTGTTACTTATTTTATTTGGTATTCACCTAACCCGATGCACATGATTTTTCATCGTACATCATTTTGCTAAACGTTTTTCTTTTGTTTTAGACGCTGCATCGTTCGGAGTCCATGGTATCATTGTGTTTCAAATCACTAACAAATTTTATCAACGATGACAACATACAAGGACTGCAGTCATTTCTTGAAAATAAACAAGTACAAGTTGATGATAAAGATGAGGTAAGAGTTGACGACATTATATTATAGACATAGATGAGTGTTGAGATAATTTTAAAATACAAAACGGCACAGATGTTTACAGAATTCTTTCTGAAAGTAGCTTATTTTTATCAGTCAAAAGTATTAAGTTGGGACAAGGCAAAATGTTCTGATTGTACCATATTTCATCCATTTCTAATTTTCAAAAAAATCATGTTATTCAAGAGTTAATGCTATGACCCAGAATAGCTGCGGGACACGCAGAAAATCTTTTTATTAACAACTATTGAGTGATTCATACGTTGCTTATCCGATTGTCAACAGTTAAAAACAGTCATTGTTGTGGTGAGGCCAGAAATTCAACTTAGTCTAGTCCTCATAGTTTCAGTCGCCTCCGAACCAATATATAGAAAATTGAGAATTTAAAGTTTTTCATTTTCAATGGGCGAGTGGACTGATAATGATTTATTGGCATTCAGTTACTCCACTGTATCGTTGGGGACCTTTAATTTTTGCAACACTTCTCCCACTATTTTCATGTCAATAATGAGTGTATGCGTTGCTCGAAATCGTTGAATTTCGGAGCTCATCTCAAACGTACCGTCATGGCATCCATTTGGCGATACGTCGAATAGATGGTGACGTCACCTGTTATGCTGTTTCGTTATTGGTCAGATAATCTTCCATTCCCACTCACGAAGCTAGGTTGTCAAGTCACCAATTATATTCAAGTTTCCAAAAATATGTAAGAGTCCTGTCGTTGAATAAAACATAATTGGAGGAACCCATGATGTTATAGTTCATTCTTGACTTTGTCGAGCAACCAGCATGTCCAAATATTACTTATACTCCATAAAAAAATATCAGACGTGGTAACATTGTGCTAATTGCTGAGAAGGGACAAGACAACGCCCACAAGTCGTGCGCGCCGTGTTGTCAAGTTCACCGCTTCAAATGTCCTCTAGTGTGAATTAATATAATTACTATTCGCATTGTGTAATGAATATTTCAGATTTGATGAAGTGATGCATAAGTGAACATAACTGTTTCTCATCATTTCGTATTGTGGTTTAAAATGACCTTTAACATATAGTACGTTAACACTAGACCTAAACCCAAACATAAAAAAAGTTGCCTCCTGCGCCCAATTGTTCCGTCTACTCTCCTTAGTACGTAGTGAAACATTACACCCCACAGTGCGTCTGGTTTACGTGGGGGAGAGTGGAAAGTCGGAAATTCAATTTTTTAGCAGTTTTTTGTCTATATCTTGAAAACTGTCAAGTTTAGTGCAAAGGTCACGCTATACGAAAATGATCTACATTGAATTATGAAGGAAAGTGTTCTCTACAACTTTTTTGATAAATGAACGGTTATGGACATATGGAAGGGGAAACATTACATAATCTCCCAGTTTGGCTTAAAAGCTGTAAAAAATTATGAAATCTCCTTCCGACTGAGTAGTACTTCGACAATCTTGAATTGAAATGTATATACACTATGTATATGATATATCTTTGAATTCCACATAAATTATACAAGGTGTATCTAAATAACACCGAAAAAATGCAAGACGTGGTTATGTGATGAGAATGAAGGTGGGTATTTGGTATACATTTATTTGATAGACTTCTCCCTGAAAGAGTTACACCCCTCCGAGGATAGAAGAACAAAATTTTTTTTTCATTTTCCCTGTATACATATCAACCAAAATACACAAAACTTGGTGGCAACTATTATTTGTCAATGAAACTATAAATTTTGAAATGCTTCAAACTTTTTTATCTCTAAAAGTTATTTCGAAAACTTGAGCATTTGCCATGTGTTTTTAATAGAAACATTTTTATCCAAAAAAAGTTATTGTGATTCTTTCCCTACATCTCCGTAACCGTTCATTTGACAAAAAAATTGTGGCGACATTTTCAGAATCCAATATAGATCATTTTCATGTGGGGTGACCTTTGCACTGAACCTCATATTTTTCGAACGAACTTTTCCGTCTTTTTACCTTCCCTCCACCAAAACCCAACCGCCAATCAATTTGGCGTCGAGATCAACTCTTTTTATGTTTGGGTTTGATTCATTTTTGAGCTAGTTTTATCGTACTAATATATGCGTTCCAGGCATAATAGAATGATGGAATGCATTAATGTCGGAACTATTTCTTGATCGATCATCTTGTTCGCTCAAAATTGTTGGTTGATCTTTCAAGCAACCAGCTAAACGTATCAAGTAGCCGCCCTCCTACTTTGAATGTGTATTTATATAAATAATTTTGTTGTTCAGAATGGGTCCACCGCACTTATGGTTGCAGCAACTAAAGGCCGATCCGCAATGGTGCGTGAACTACTCATACATGGTGCTGACCCCAACATAGAAGACAATGATTGTTGGACGGCTCTGTTATGTGCGTGTAAAGAAGGACATATTGATATAGTGATCCAGCTATTGGAGCATAATGCTGCAATTGATCATAGAGATATGGTAAGAAATTTAGAAATCTGCGAGAATTTTACTCAGAAGGTTCATCTTGAAGTGGATTATTTTCATCTCTTTCATCTGTCGAAAGAAATTTTCTTTATCAAAATTATAACAGCAAGAGAATATTATGTGTAAAACATAATGTGATTTCAGGTTTAATATAGCTATTCATATGCCATGTTTGGTACTACCATTTTCACATAGTCCACCATATCGCACTTCCCGCTTCAAAAGTGTCCTTACTCAATATATGTCAAAACTCAGGATGATCATTTCAAGTTTTGCATTATTTCAAATATTTCATCATGAACTCGTGGAAAATTTCATGTGGCTGAAAAATTTATAACTACAGTAATTTTGCTAACTTTCCATTTTTTATGAATATTTCAGACAAATTCTGAGAAGCAGCAATATTGTCAACACGAATGATGTAATTCATTGAGGTTTCTGGTCATTTGAATTAATAACACAAACTATTAAGGAATTATAACATCTAAAATGGAATTTATCTTGGTATTAATGAAAAGATTCATGGAATAAAAACGTCGAAAATCCGGTTTGTCACAATTATCATCAACCAAAAATTGTGGTATCGAATAATAAGTTCATTTTAAATTAATTATATTCGAATTTTCAACTAGCCATCGTAAAAATAAGTTCAATAACACATAATTGAATAATATTGGCCCATAATTATCTAGCCCTATCAATAAATTTAAAATTTTTGTTGCATCCACTAAACCACTATTTTAATTGAATAGGTACACATTTCATATCTACGACTTACTTTCCTTTTTTATTTTATGAATCTTTTCATATAACTCATATAACTCGAAAATAATTATATGTTATTAATTTAAATGACTACCAGATACGTCAATGATTTCTAACATTTGCATTGACAATGTTGGCGCTTCTCAGAATTTGTCTGAAATATTAATAAAAAATGACCTTCAAGTACTCTTTCTGCTGACAAAAGAAATCGGTTGAAAACTATAGATTTAATAAGGGTGCTCTAGTCTTAAGTGGGTTACACTGTATATGCCGGGGCGCTCCGATGAATAGACACGGCCGTAGAGGCCTTCAAATCACAGTATACACCCTTATGGAAAACAATAATGTCACAAAGTGTTTGATGTTTTTTTTTTTTTTTTTTTTTCTAAAACCTTTATTATTGTCAAGTCAATACATTGTTACATAATACCTACATATATACCACAACTATATATATACCATTGTCAGCATACACCATTAAGAATATTATAAATAAAAACTGGCAAATTTACAAAATAAAAGGAAGCTATGATGGTTGTTTCTCTGGAAATTTTAAATCTTCATTTCATTCCTATTTAAAAGCAGAAAAGTTCTCTTATCTCCCTTTTATCATGATAATTTTGCAATTTAAGCCTTTCTAGTCTCATTGTATTTTTAAACTGTTCCAACTCCATACTGCCTATTCTCTTTTCTATATTCCAAAATATAATTGCACCTATGAACCATCTATAACACTCTGTCTTTTCTTTTTTTTCTGTTTGAATCGCTAGTAATTCTTGTACATTCCTACATTTATCGACATCTATTTTGAATTTCTTGATAACTATATTTTTTATCCATATCCAATGTATCTTTGAATCTTTACAATCTCTTATTCTATGAATCACCGTATCCAACGTGTTACATATGGAACAATTGGCGTTATTACTTATATTGTGTCTGCTCATTCGGTCTCCTGTCGCATATACATCATTCACCGCTTTGTAAACAGCTGACTTCCATTTAGCCGGTATTATTTTACTGTTATTAACTTCCCATATTTTTTTCCAGTTCACATTTGTTATTTTATTTTCAATATTTGATTGCACGTATATATTTTCTATAAATTTGCTGTAGAGCGTTCTCGCTGTTACTTTATCTGTTTTTCCGAGATTTTCCTTTCTTATCGCTTCCACAATGTGTTTATATATTTTTGGTACTCTTTCATTCTGATTTTCGAAAAACGTGGTATAAGTTGCTTTATATGTTATTTTCTTATCAGAATTCCATGAGTTAAATAGTGTTTTGATGAATAATGCTCTTGCTTTATGTTCTATATTAATTAGTGCCATTCCTCCTCGTTCCTTCGGCATATATAATTGTTTTCTATCTATTCTGTACAGATGGCCTTGCCATATAAATTTACCTGTAATCTGAACTATTTTCTGACTATATTTATTTGATATGGGGAGAACTTGTGCTACGTACCATATTTTGGATAACATATAAATATTTACATAAGCTATTTTCCTAATAACATCTAAACCTTTGCTCAACTGCGAGAAAGCATTGCGCTGAATATTTTCTGTTATTTTTTTCCAGTTTTCTTCTACTGTTTCTGCCGTATTTTTCGTGAAGATAATTCCTAGTATTTTAATTTTTTCTACAATTTTGAACCCATGTTCATTGTTGTTCGCGTCATTTTTCCAATTTCCTAGTGTCATTATTGATGTTTTTTTTTCATTTATATTAGCTCCGGCTCCTTTTTCAAATATTCTTACGACTTTCTTCAAATTATTTATATCATTTTTATCGTTCAGATAAATTGTTACATCATCTGCATACGCTGTGGTTTGATACTCAATATTGTTTATTTTTAACCCAGTCAATGAAAATTCCACCAATTTAATGAATGGTTCTATATATAATGCAAAAAGTAGCATCGACAAGGGACATCCTTGTCTGACTGCTGCTCGGATTTTTATATTGTTAGTCAAATAACCGTTAATTAATATTTTTGTCTGTGCCGTGTCATATATATTCATTAAGGTTCGAATTAAATTTTCAGGAAAGTTGCACTTTTTCATGATTTGCCAAATTACTTTATGTGGGACCCGGTCAAAAGCCTGTTGAAAATCTATTTGGAGAATTGCTCCCGACTTCGTCTGATGTTTTTCAAAATCTTCAATTATATCTTTATTGAGTAATAAATTATTCATAATTGATCTCTCATTTATTCCATTTTGTTCCTTACCTATTATTCTCGTTAGGATTGGAGTTAGTCTATTTGCCATAATTTTCATAAATATTTTGTAATCTGTATTTAGTAGAGTTATGGGACGAAATTGTTCAATTGACTTTGCATTTTTTACTTTGGGTATCAGTAATAGGACTCCCTCGCCAAAGTTTTCCGGAATCTCTTGTTCTCGTAGTATTTCGTTAAATAACTTCGTCATATCATCTTTAATTTCATCCCATAACTCTAGATAACTTTCGTACGATATCCCATCTGGCCCAGGTGTCTTTTTTTTGTTGCAACTCTCAAGGACCATTCGTATTTCTTCAACTGTTATCTCTTGCATGCTTCCTTGCGCTTCTACATTACTTACCCTTTCATTCAGGTGTGACAATAGAGTTCTCATCTCCCGTTCTTGCGTAATTTTTTGCGAGAATTTCTCCTCAAAATATTCAAAAGTATGTTTTTTTATTCCTTTTATATCTTTTATCTCTCTTCCTTCCTTATCAACTAATGAACTTATCGTCATATCCCTATTCATTTTTCTTTTCTTAACAATTTCATACAATGAATTTTTTTCCGTGTAATTTTCTTTGTTTTTATCCTGGAAATCTTCTTCCAAATATTGCTCCTTTGTTGCGAGAATAATCAATTTCAATTCCCTGATCTGTTCAATTACATTTTCTTTCTTCTTTAATCTTTTAAATAAATCTATTAGCGCCTCATTATAGAAGTTAAGCAAGTTCTTTCTGTCTATGGCTCTTGTTATTTCTTTATCTCTGAAAAAACGCTGGAAGCTTTTCTTAAAACTCTTTTGCCACCACAATGAATGATTATTTTTATGAAACTCTGTATTTTTTATTGACTGCAGTTGTTTTTTATATTGCTTAATGTTTGTTTCATCTTTCATTAAAGATAGTTTGATTTTCCAATATCCCCATCCATGTTGGGGTGCTTGTATTTTCTCTTTCACCTCTAATTTCATTACTAAAGCATTATGATCCGAAAAGGCCACTGGAACATTTTTTACATCTTTGACACTCTGACTCAATTCTTGCCCCACGTAAATCCTATCTATTCTCGTTGCGCAATTTTCTCTAATATATGTATATTCTACTTCTCCCCTATGTATTATTTCCCAAGCATCCTTCAATTTCAAATTTTGCACAAGTTTCATTAGAATGTGATTGATGGGGGCATTTTCGTTTCTGGAGTCTTTTTTCTTAATGATACAATTAAAATCTCCTAACAAGATCATTGGTGTATTCATGTCGCAATGTGGAATTATTTGAGATTGGAACATCATGTCTCTTTCCATCCGATTTTTGGTTCCCGATGGAGCATAAACATTCACAAAATGGACATTATTGATTTTGGCTGATAAAATTCGACCATCTGTACTACATAAAACGTTGGATACTTCAAAACTATTTCTATATATTATTGCTGTACCTCTTTCATTGCTACCTATATTTGTCACATAATTATAATTTTGATAACATTTCAACATATCTATATTGACTTCTTGGAGCGCTATAACATCCGCACTATTATTTTTAATGAAATCATTTAGTAAACTCTGCTTATTCCGTTTTTTCAAACAGTTAATATTTATTGACGCTATTGAAAATATATTAATCATGTCAACGAAAGTGTGAAAGAGAGGTCAGCTATTGAATTTACCTTACTAATAACTGTCTTGTTCACTTTCTCCTGACTCCTTACTGCTATCTTGTATTTCAAAATCTTTCCTCATTGCTCCTCTTTCTGGTATCTTTATCACTATTTTGGGTACTTTCCTTTCTTCTTCGGAGCTGGAGATTAGTGCAGCCCTGGCTCTCTTCCTTTCCTTTTTTCCAATTTTCATGTCTTGTTCCTGTGTTGGTTCTATTATATCTTCATATTCCTCATCCTCTACTGGTTCTTTGTTATTTTGATCTTCGATTATGTCTGCTTCTTGTGTTGGTTCTATTATAATCTGAGCTTCCATTTGCGTATCTCTATTCACTTGACATGCCTGAGTTTCATTTGCTGGGTTATTATTTCCATATGTAAACCAATTCATGTTTTCTGCTTGCCTCTCGATTTCCTCTATGCTTTCCACCTCGGTTCGCACCGGCATAGCACCACTAGTTATCTCGGCAAAAGTCGGTGGTTGGATATTAGTTGCTTGTCGGGTCTTTTGGATTGCGGACTCTGGTGGTGTTCTAATTTGCTGGACTCTGTTCGATATTCTTCTTGGGCAATCCTTACGTTCATGTCCTGGCTGATCACAGAACATACAGGTTCTTATTTGATTATTGTATTTGACCAGGGAAGTTATCCCTTCTACTATCATATATGATGGCACTGGGTTTTTCATTTTCATTACTGCTATTCTAACTCCATTTTCGACCGGATACATTTCTTCTCCTGAATATATTTCATTCCTGATACTTTTAACCTCTCCATATTTTTCTAATTTTTCTACAATCTTCTTATTCTCCATTTCCACCGGAAAATCGAAAATTCTTAGCCGAATTTCTTCCGATTCTTCCGATATATATATTTCATACTCTTCATCTCCATCTGTATATTTTACGATACCATCTTCATATTTCTGTACTATTTGCTTTACTAGGATTTCATTTACCAATTTTATATACACATGATATTTAATATGATCATACTGTATAGCTTTAATTTGATCCACTGTAAATTTAAACGTATGTTTAATCCACGCATGTAATTTGGATGGTATTGGTTTTTTCCGTACATTTTTAAAATTCAATGTTATTGTGTTTTGCCTTGCCACCGGCATGCCTCGCACAAAAAATCTTAATCTGGTAACTGATAGCAATATACAAACGTCCGTTCAGTACGACAACTCGATCGGGACTGTGATGTTGGTGTCCACAAGTTTTATTTTTTGTCAGACCAGTGCGCATACCACCACGCACAGACTTGCGCGTTTCGATCTTAATTGAGCCAATGACATGCCCATGACGACTCACTCGTCAGCACTGAGAAATGCTGTGAAGTCCCTGGATTTTATGTGAACAGGTCCGGCTTCAAATAAATAAATAGCCTATCCACGCACTTACCATTCCTGAAAACATTGAAATTTAGATTCAAACATCAGGGATTATACCACACTGTGTTCATACTATGATAACAAACAGATCAAAAATGTTTGTGGATACACTTTTTCTTATCTTGGCTCATCTTTTGAAAAAACTCAAACTGCAATCTGTCCTACTATTTTTGCTTCAAATAAAACAGTAGGCCGCCAGCAGTGAGAAATCAGTGACCTCACATATAATGTTTATGAAGCACAATAATTATACCAGTAATCAGGAATAACTGGTTCACAAATTAATACTAGACAAAATAAATCGTGGTTTTCATCACAGATACATCATGAAGGCATATAAATCAAGGAAGTCAAAGAAGTGTAAACACTACACCTGCCCTGCTATCTGAGCAACAACTCATACCAGCCACAATTGGACGAGCGCACTGCGATTTTTACGAGGGGTAAACAACTTCAAATATGGTATACACCCTTAAAATATTTGAATAATTTGAATTATTTTGAATATCTATTAATTAATTATTCATTCTCTTCAGTACATTTCCAATATCTGAATTACCGTTTGAATACTTTAAATACTCTAAATACTTTATAAATCCTTTTTAATTATTTCAAATTGGTCATAATTATTTTGAATATATTTCAAGTATTTCAAATACCTCAATTACTTCTTAAGTAAACTATAAATATATCAAAAATACACGTTGGAATCTTGTGCAATTGGTCAGGACGTTGACTTCTCGACGGTTGTGATCACGAGAGTGAAAAGATGCGAATTTTGACGAAAGAATCATAACATTCGACCCCGAAATCCCCCAGATACCAGTTTTGAATAGAATCGGTTAATACTTACAAAACTCGTCCGCCATTTTGTTGCCGCGATTTTGTTTTTTTTTTTTTTGTCTAACAAATTTCATGATACATTGTCACCAGAATTGAGTACACCTGCCAAATATCAAATGAATCGGACATTTTGAAGAGGGTGTTCGAAGATTCCGTGACATACAAACATATACATATATATATATATATATACAATCATATACAAACAAACATGCCAAGCTTACAAGCATGTTAAAAAAAGCAGGGTATATCTGAACCTGAGTCATCCCAATCAGAGTACGAAGAGACATTAAAATACCTAGAATAGACGATAGTGATGATACTAAAACCTCGAATGAAAAATTTTCATAATTTGAAGATGTTACTCCGAAAAATGATTCAACTGGAACAGTACCATGAGGTGACCTACCATGATACCACATGATACCTGATATATTTCTAGGATGCTTGTGACGAACCCAGTTAAACCTAAATTGAAATTTCCCGAGTTTGACCTTGATTGATATATCTGGCCCCACGGAAAGATATTCAATTGGCCCAAAATATGAATTTTTTTTTTTTTTCATTTTTGAAGGATCGCTGAAGCTCTCCGCGAGACTCATAATCATAAAATTTGATTCAATATTTTTTTGTTATTTTATCACAAATACTGCAACATAATCAAGGGACAGCGAGCAGGGTTCCAATCAATGATATGCCTTATGTATTTTTGACAAAAAAATCCATAGCAAGATATTTTTTCCCATGAAACTGACAGATTTCCGATTTATTTTCTAGTTTTTGGGTGAAAATGGGGTAAAAATGATGCGACAAGATCAGGGAACAGCATTATTTCAATCTATGATATATTCCTTGACTAACAATTCATAGCAAGATATTTTTTCCCAATGAAAATGACAGATTTCCGGTTTGTTTTTCGAATTTTGGGGTGAAGATTGAGTCAAATGAACAGGTGATATAATAACTCTATTTTCATTCTACTACTACTAGGCGCCACTATTGATGAAACCACCTGTTGTAACGACAATTTTTAATTTTTCTTAAATGTATTAAATATTTTTCTCAAATAGCAATACCTCAATTACTCACGCATACAAAATATTTTGTGTGTACCCTTTTGTGGGAGTTGTTTGCCCCTCGGATTTTTAGGGCATGAAAAGTGCTGATAGAAATTACTGTTTTCCGTAAGGACAGAGACACACGAGGCGCATTTTCGCCGAGCGTCTGCCGCGCGGCGGCCGAAAGTACCGCACACACGCAGTTTTCTTTTGAAACATGGTCATTGAAAATTAGAACGCTGAAGAAGTGAGACGTTGTCAATTGACCATGGATTCTGATGATGTGAATTCTTAACAATAATTGGCTTAATGTATTGCCGATTGAAGAAAAAAAATAAAAAGAATAGACGTATGTGGATTCACCCAATCGTGGAAAAACGTGCAGACAAGGGCTTGTTCAATTTATTTAATGAAACAATCAAAGATGATGATGACGAAAAGTTATTCAATTTCGTTAGAATGTCCACAGAGTCATTCAATGAATTACTCAGCTATATCGAAGGTGATATGAAACAAAATACAGTGATGAGAGATAGCATTTCACCAGAGGAAAAATCAGTAATAACATTGAGGTATAATTATATAATTTTATTTACTTTTCAAAGATTATAAATCCAATAGGTATAAACATTGCTTCACTCATTATGAAAACCTAAAAAATTCCAAAATATACCTACCTAGTGGAAAAATTAGGAGATCGTTACATCAGAGCCACTTCCTGAATAATTACTGAAGAATGAATGTATGGAATCTGTTGAAGTCTGAAGAGGGGTGGATGCTCCTGGGATACTTGATTCATTCTCTGAAGTTTGGGAATATAGGTTGGGTAGCCTTTGCTGGACTGCTGTTGCCTCAGTTATTTGAGTTACATCTTGGCTCACTCGTTCTGTCTCGGTTATTTTATTACCTGAAGATATGAGTTGAGAGCTGGTTGTTGATGTGAGTTGAAATATGGTGGTTGTGTGTCTCGTGTGTCTTTATCTTAAGGGTGTTTACAGTGCATTAAATGAACGGTTCTCGTTTCCAGGGCGGCTGGACGCCGCTGATGTGGGCCACGTACAAGGGCCGCACTGACGTGGCTCTCCTTCTCGTCGACCGCGGCGCCGAGGTGAACGCGCACGGCAACTTCCACGTATCGTCGCTGCTGTGGGCGGCGGGCAGAGGCCACGCGCGCATCGTCGAGGCGCTGCTGCAGCACTCGGCCAAGGTCAACTTCGGCGACAAGTACGGCACCACCGCGCTGGTGTGGGCCAGCCGCAAGGGGTACACGGAGATCGTCGAGATGCTGCTGAGGGCAGGTGAGGAGATTATAGTGTAACTAGTAAATGTAATGGGATTGAAGCTATGATAGCCGAGGAGACTGATAGTAGGAACTACTTATTCCAAAGAAGGGAAGTGTTGTATTCCGTGCAAGATAATTTATTCAAATTTATACTCGTAGCAGAGCGCTTTCAACTGTTAAGTCATCATCAGTGCATACTCGTCAGGTTAACAAGGGAATTTGTCCATACAAATATCTCTGGTCCAGTTAAAAACTATCGACATTATGGTAAAATACGGTACAAACATATTAAAATGTGTTTCCCAAAAGGGGGTGAAATACAGATGACATATTATTAGACAGCCATTGTCGCTGCGACATGTCAAATGTGTTTCCCAAAAGGGGGTGAAATACAGATTACATATTATTAGACAGCCATTGTCGCTGCGACATGTCGTGTTGATGAGTGATGGACCTTGGTTAAATTATCAATGACAATAACACGTGCACACAGCCAAGCAACCCTTTCTTAATGATGTTATCATGCAATTCTGTAATCTGTTTAGACAGTAATTGCAAGATTGGTAATAAGTTCAAGTGATAGCAATATTGTTGGAAAATTTCGATTTTCTAAGCTGATAACATTAATTTCAAGTCGGTCGTCAAGTAATGGGTACCGTTAGTGCTATTATTTCATGATAAAGTTGAATTTATGTTTATCGAACTTCACATTCTGTCTTGCACTGAGATTTTAAGAATTATATTATTCAGATTGACAGTTGACTCTTTTCCGATTTGTATATGAAGAATTGAAATGGTTTTTCTCCAGGTATTTATTTATTCAAGGATGCCATCACATTGTGCTGTTGTACAATTCACAAAAAATCGAGTAAATTTTGCAGCGAGATAGGAATGGATAAGATTTCTCGGGTGAATTGTGATCTAAAAGTTCTGTAGTCACTCATTTAGTTTCCATTTTGAAATTTTGTAATTTGTCTTTAGAATTTCTTTTGTAATAGAAGCTAATAGAAAGACTTGTGACGTTTCTACAAGAAGGCAAGTAAGTAGCTTAGATTTGTGCAGTTGCTATTCTTTTTTACTAATTTACAGTGGCTGTTGCTCGGAGGATGTGCAGTTTAGGACACATGTTTATAGGAATAAAAAGTCGTTATTTTGATTCCAACAATATGTATTTAAAATATTTACATCGAATTTTGACTCCCCCTTTATATCTTAGAATATTCCTTTTCAATAAATATAAGATTCTCTGTATTATTAGTGGTACAAAATCATCTAACTACTTATGCATCCTCATTCAAATACGACGAGTGTCAAGAAATGTTGACGCATTATTTTTTTATACTCCATTCTTTTCATGCTCATTATCGTCATGTTCCGATATTGCTGACATTATTGGCCACAGTAAGCAATTTAGAAACACTAAACAGTAGCAGTAGCTTTGAATTTTCATTCCATCTTGTAACGATTTGGGCAGTACCGATACACTGGCAGCAGAACATAACCATAATCTATAATCTTTCGAATTACGGTGGTTTTGTTTTGTTGATCTGTATTTTCATCTTCTTCACTCACGTTGAAGTTATGGATATAGTGGTTAATTAGATTATCTCAGAATTCTTAAGAGACATATTATCCGATGGTGATTCTGATTCATCAGAAGCACACAGCTCTAGTACCTCTAGCTGTGAAATATTTGATATCAATAGTAAGAATAAACATCTCATAACAAACCATCTTGTAGGTTAGTGACAGTTTTAGCGTCTACTGCCTCTGTGAGATCTTCCAGTTCAAATTCATACATTTTCCCAAAATATTTGAAAATAATATTATATATCATTTTTATCGACTCACACCTAATCATTTGAACGCTTAACCCCATATTTCATTAATACTGGCGCTACATCATCATCTCTGCACCAGTGGCCAACATCAAACTTTAAGCCTCTTAACAGGGTTCTCTGCAATGACGAATACGTTGCCAGTAAATTTCGGGAATATCGGAACATGCTCTATGTATTATACTATATCCAGTTGAAATTGTAAGTGTTTCTGTCATTATTTCAACAATTTTTTATTGTTTTCAGGTGCTAATGTGGATACAGCCGGTATGTACTCCTGGACTGCCCTCATCGTCGCCACTTACGGAAACCACGTGGACGTAGTCAATGTCCTTCTCGACCACAAGCCGAACGTCAATGCTCTGGACAAAGACGGTTGCAGTCCGTTGATGATCGCTTGTAAGGAGGGGTATTACGAGATTACTACTGCTCTAATGACTGCGGGAGCTTATATAAATATTCAAGTAAATATCAGTTGAAACAGAAAGTAATATGTATGTAATGATGGATACTTCATTTGAAATATTTCCATAAAATATACTAGACTCTCTGCTAACTTGACGAGTAATCAACTCTTCTGGCCCTAATCATTATAAACTTTTGATATAGACACATTATTCATCGTCAAATATAGTCCAAGAGCCGGGTGCAAATCTGGACCATCATCTGATAACAAAGATTTGTCCAAAAACCATGAAATTATATTTTATGGAATGGCACCTCTGAAAAAATTGCACTTTCCTGTGCGGTTATTTGGACGGAATTCCGCGATTAGATAACGCGATAATACTTATGCCATCTGATACCAATTGGATGGTAGTCCTCAGAATGTTACCTGTGCTGCCCCTCAAGTTCAGTGAAACCCACGGCACAACGATTTTTTTCGATTTTTTTGCTGTCATCATTCTGAACATAGTTCCGTCACATGTTAATCATGTTGTCTTATTCGCGAATATTCAATCCTGTTGTGACTCAAACTGATCTAAGTTATTGGCAGAACGTCAGTTCTTCAATGGTTCATCGGATATCAAGGTGCAGGTTGGGGATGAATGGTCAAATGAGTATGATATCAGGATTGGTACACCCCAGGGCGGAGTACTGGAGCCTCTCCTCTTCACTGTCTATGTCAATGACCTGCCTAAACCATCGCTCAAGGACGTACTTTCATCTATGCGGATGATACGACAATTGTTGTTACTGCTAACAATAGAACAGAATTAAATCACAATATCAAGATTGTCACAGAAAATTTCGACTATTGGTGTAGATCAAACCATCTCATTGATAACAGAAATAAGACAGTGCTAATAGAATTCACTACCTATTTCAATACAACAGGAAATCTTCCTTATGATATATGTGACACAAAGATATCAGCAACACAACAAACAAAATTTCTAGGTTTGGATGTAGACCATAAACTATCTTTTAACAGTCATGTTGACACAATCTGTAAAAAACTGAACAAATTGTATTATGCATTTAACACCTTGAAATCAAACTTCCATAGAGATAATCTAATAAACATGTACTATGCTCTAGTATAATCCATTTTAAGCAATAACATAATTGTATGGGGCAGGGCCACAGAAGCGTCTAGGTTATTCATTTCGCAAAAGAGATTCATAAGGCTATTGTTCGACCTATACCATAGAGTCATGTAAAGACACATTTATTGAAAGCGGCATTTTAACATTCACTTCAATCTATCTATACAAATTATTGCTACACACACAATAATTTAGGAAAACTAGATAGAAACAGCGAATTTCATGAATACCCTACAAGAAGACGTGCCGATTTTCGTCTGCATCAAATTAAAAGAATGCAGCATAGAAAATCTGGTGGCTATTTCTTCAACATGCTACCTCCAAACCTGAAATCATTGCAGGGTTCCAACATTTTCAAAGCGCACCTAAAGAAATACCTATTACACCATGCTTTTCACTGTCTTGACGAATATGTCCAATTAAATAATTAATACTGTCATCTTTTTTATACTGCATAATTCTCATGTACACATACATACACATATCTTGTTAGGCCTTGTCTAGAACGTGTTTTTACTTTTTAACTTTTTTCTCTTTTACTTTTTTAAAATATTATGTCACCATTTTTATTGCCTATATTGCATATCTGTACTTACAACTAGCATAAGGACCTGTCTCATGTTATGTAAATAATCAAAAGAGATCAATAAAAGTATCTATCTATCTATCTAATATCTTTGAACAAGGCGAAATAGAGTAGAATAGAATGTACTGGGTGTTGAGCTCGTCAAAAATATTCAATTCTAGGAAATATTGATGATAACTTGTTCATGATTCTATTCACATTTCATGTTATACAGTGCCCGTCCAAATTCCGTCACCCCCGCCCCCACTAATTTTTGAAGCACCTGGTATATCCTAACGAAATCTGGAATCCTCAAATAGGGGATAAAAACCTTTTTTGTGAAAAAATGACATTTTCAAGTTTCAATATAGCAACTGAGAGCCATCTTGAATTATTTCTTCAAATGGAACACTCCGTATATTTTGAATTGGCTCGGCCGTAGCTAATTCTATTCGAAATTTTCTCATAATTCTCAACAATTTCATCTGATACACTTCATTGGACTTTTTGATTGGGATTGAAATGACCAAAATGTCCCTTTTCATAAAAAGTGTATCTCCTATTTCAGCCTTTCAAATTTCGTTGCGATTCACCAGGAGGTTCAAAAACTAGTAGGGCGGTAACGGACTTGAGACGGGCACTATATGTTCCTCCATCCATGTATTATGGTATACTGAGCATTGCAGTTCTTTAGGTTTTCCGTTCCTCTAGGCTTTTATTTCAAATCCAGCTATTTTCAGGATCGAGCAGGCGATACCAACCTGATTCATGCGGTCAAAGGAGGTCATAGAGGTGTAGTGGAAACCCTTCTGAAAAAGTACGCCGACGTAGATATCCCAGGCAAAGATCGCAAAACTGCAATATACATGGCAGTCGAAAAGGGGAACGCCAATATAGTCAGGATGCTCTTGACGTGCAATCCGGATCTGGAACTGGCGACAAAAGATGGCGATACTCCTCTTCTCAAGGCCGTCAGGTCTCGAAACGCAGAAATCGTCCAAATACTTCTTGACAAAAAAGCTAAAGTATCTGCTGCTGATAAAAAAGGAGATACAGGACTGCATATAGCGATGAGGGCCAGATCTAAAGCAATAGTAGAAATTCTCTTGAGGAATCCCAAGAACAGTCAGTTGTTGTACAGACCAAATAGGGCTGGAGAAACACCTTACAATATTGATATGAACAATCAGAAAACGATATTGGGTCAAATATTCGGAGCAAGTAAGTCAAATCTACATACAAATTTTGCCAACAATAACTATGTGACAGTACTTGTACCCGACAAATGTGACCAATATGGCGGTTGTTGATAGGAAATGATTCTTCTTTCAAGGTGTAGTAGTGATTCAATTGCTTCTCCACTACTAACTTCGAAACACATCATTAACCATCATGTTTTCAACCTGAGAAATCAATTTTTGCTACTTGTGGCAATAAGCGTCTGCTGAACTCTTAATTTGACAGATCGTAGCAACTTTCATTGTCAACATTAACAAAGATTTTAGGTAGAAATCATCAAATTGCGAAAATTTATACTAGAAGCACTGATCGCCATCAGGAGTAGAAACAATAATATAAAAATACAAGAACAAAAGACTGTCTTCTCGGATCTCTGCTTACTAACTAATATACAGTTCGGTTTAGAAAATTGTCTTCTGTACGTTAGTATATAATCATTATTCCTATTCGATTTCTTGTTGATGCGGACGCTTTCAATTGTGTCAAAATAATGTATGCTTTCACTAAAAATATGTTGTTGCCTGTGGAACTGTACCATTTTATAATTATCTTGTATTACAATTTTTTTTTTGTTCGATTTTGGACAATCTTTTATGATTGTACTGGATACCTGAATAATAACTGTGGTTGGAACGAAATTCGGTACGATGTCTATATTTTTTTAACCGGTTTAACATCCGTTGAATGAATTTCTGATTTTTCAAATCAGGAACATTGTTGTGTATTTTGTTAAATAATCTCACTGACACTTCCATGTCACACCACATAGCTCATGAAATCATCGAAGATGTGTCAGCAAACCTTCTTTCATTTTATGAGAATAGTCTTATATTGAAATTAACTAATTCAAAATTTCTACTCGTGATCTTGATATATTTTTTTTTATTTTCAGGAAGATTGAACACAAATGAAGATAACGAAAATATGTTAGGTTATGACTTGTATAGTAGCGCCCTAGCTGATATTTTAAGTGAACCGTCCTTATCGATGCCGATTACTGTGGGATTGTATGCAAAATGGGGAAGTGGAAAATCGTTTCTGTTGAACAAATTGAGAGGTATTTATAATTTTATCAACAATTTTTGGTTTTTCACACACACTTTTTATTCAAGTCGTTAGTAATTCTGTTGTTCTTTGTATTACTGTGAATCTTCACGTGATTTTTAATCAATTCATGTGCTCATACTTCATTGTCATTGATCTAGGAATAATTCCTGACAGATCTTGCTAATCTTTCAAATCATTATTGTTAGGCATTGAAATTGGTGTTAGGAAGTTGGCAACAATATAGAAATCTAACCTTTGTCATTCATCTGCTCTATGTGATCTGACATTTGTCGAAAAGGGAACGCATGACGGAGATGGGTATTCTATCATTGTACCTGTTGAAGAGACATGACAAGTGTAAATAAAAGTAATTAGATCTATAACTATTTATTTATTAATTAAATATGTTAAATCCAACATATCACATGGCGCTGTGAAATGAATAAATAGTAGCAAATCTGATAAACATGGGGTATCACAGAGGAATTTCGCCGATGACTATGGATGGTAACGTGAGCGAGAACTGGAAAATGTGGACATCTCGCTTCAACAATAAACACAGTGTGCTCAATTGTTACACTTCATTGAAGAAGAGTGTTCCCGGATTTATAAATAATAATAATATCATTTATTCAAGGACGACTTTCAAAGCAATTTACAATTGTCAATTAAGGAAGAATAAAGATAAACTAAGGAGAGATGATTACACAGTTGTCATAAAAGAATATTATAATAAATGATCCATACTCGATAATTAAAAGGTTAATTGTTTCGAGAAGAAAAAAAAACTTGATATCACAATAATTGGTAACATTAAAAGAGTTATGGAAAAAAATATATAAACATAATTTCATAAGAATAACATGGATTAACACATATACATCTATAAATATCTAATGCAAATGTTGAAATTTTAAACTAATAATGAGTATTGACATGCACACATTGTATACAATTGAACAATAGAGTATAGGTAAAACTTAAATATAACACATTCAAAGTTGCAGAGGACTAGAAGAATTAGTTAGATGTACTGATTGAAAAGTTTGAACTTCATTGCCAAAAGAAAATATGACTAACGAAAGATACAGATTTTTATCTCATCGACAGCAGAATGGACAGTCCCTGGAAAAATTCATAACTGAAATTGAAGAATGCAGTGAAAATATAATCATCACAAAATTTCATTCAGGAGTGTATAATACAGGGTGGGACTAGATCAAATATTGCTCAAACTTTTCTGTATGCAAATTTTTTGAGAATTCAATCTCGGATGAAAATACACACCTTTCCACAGATAAGAGGTGCCCGTGTTCCATGTATGTACATCAGATGTATCATTCTTGAGTGAGATCAATTGAAAAATATTGTTCATCTCACATATTGATTGTCTTTAATACCCCAAGAAACATTATTGTTTATATTATGCATAACGTTGCCTATTTACGAATCATAGTGACTACAAAAAAAATCGAATATTTCTTCAAACCGAGAAATTTCATAGAGGCGTAAAATAGGAAAATGATGATAAAAAACTACTTTAATTATTGTGCATTTTTTCCATGTCCCCTACGATTTATTGCATTGTTGTGCCTAATATGTGAGATGTGACAATATGTGATATGATTATTCTTATGTAAATGTTTTTTTCTAATGTATATTGTTGATGTTTTATAAAACTATTGATTAACAGATAATTTGTTATAATTTTCAAAGTTTTTTGAAGAATAATCAAATCAAATCAAAATATGCTTCATTGTCACTTAAGAATGTAATCCTTGTAGACAAAGCTAAGTATGTTGTTAAAATGAAATAATAATAATGCAATATTATGTATACAACAAATATTAACATAAATACATTTTTTCACAAACATGTGCACACATATGGCTCCGTCTAAAATACTTGTTCATAAAAATCCTCCACATTATAGAACGCATAAGGGACTAACAAGTTTTTCAATTCCTTTCTGAATTTTTTTTTATCAGAGGTAGATTTAACTCTAGTTGGAAGATGATTGTACATTTTCAGGCCATTATATATTATGGAATCTGTTATTAGTGAACTGCAGGGCCGGGGAAGCTTTACCATGTCTGACTGGCGTGTGTTATAAAATGATTCCACGACTACGTAATTATCTCCTGGTTTTGTGAATCAAAACACACCGACACTATAATAAACAAAGATACTACTGTTGACACTCTGTGCTCCCTGAATATCTCTTTACAAGAGGTTCTTGGATTAACTTTGCATATATATCTTAAGGCCCTTTTTTGTAAGAGGAAAGTAGACTGTAAAATACGGTTATAATAAGTTCCCCAAAATCGAAAGGTTTTTGTATATTTTCAACACTTGTTTATATAGACCTCTCCAACCTATTATGCCATTCCAAAGTAGTGTCACAAACTGTAGGCGGGGGTTGCCTCAGTTGTGTTCTAGATCCATTACAGAATGAACTTTGCAAGTGAGCAATGATAAATATGACTAAAAAGATATCCAACAAATCATATTCACACATACATTCTGTAACGTTTAAATTTAATATTTTAGGTAGTTTGAATGATTAACCCTATAATTCATTGCACAAGTCGTCAATTAATGAGAACAATAACCTGCGATATGACCCTATATGAACCATCCTCAAAATTCACTGTGCTATACACTGGTAGGATAAAGAAGCACTTGATATTTTTATTTCAAACATAATGACAGTTATGCCACTCAATATTGTTCTACTGTACATCTCCATGGTTTGTTCTTGGGCTGAACTTCCAGATTTCCTTTGGGGTAGGTGGCAGTGGTTTCCGTTGCGTAAGAGGGTTTGATCTCTCGGTGGATCCTAGAATAAACAAGATACATATCAGAATCGCTGTACAATTTATGTTTGATCTGATTATAATTTGAAGAATATGAATAAAATAGGGAAATTAATATAATAACAAGAACATTTTACCTGATTTCCATCATCTATGATTCAATTTTGTTGTATCAAATGTGTATTTAGTTTGTTTACGAAATAATTAACCATAAGTCATAACATCTCAGTCATAACCTTGCGGATCAGCTGGTAGCAGCTATTCATCTCTGTCTTATTCATCCGTTCCATGTCATGCAGCAACTTTACAGCTATAGTCGATCAGCTGGTATCAGCCATGTTCTTTCCTGCGTCAGCGCCTATAAAGATAGAGCAACTCACGAAACGCACGAAAATCACCTGTAGCTCGCTGTCATCAGTTTGGTTCTTTCAGACATAGAAGTCATCGTCAAAAGTATTCGTGTACTTACGGGTAATTCGGCATCTTTCGGAAATATTTTCATGCTCATTGGTCAGGAAAGTTTGTTATTAAGTTTTTCAAAATAGGTTTTGGAAATTATTGTTACTGAATAGAAGAGGACACTATTCTCTATCTTTTATCACGCGAAAATTTACGATTCTGAGAAAGAAGGTTGATGATTTTTCTCGCTAATGTCGGACAGTGTGAGACAAAGTTGATTTTTGTGGATTTTCATTTCATCATATTGTTGGATTTTTCACTTTGTCTCCAATATCAATTTTGCCATAGTGTTTCGTTTCACTGTAGTGATATTTAGATTTGGCAAATTTCTCTTCGCTAGAAGGATTTATCACTGCCGACCAAAAGCGTGATCGAGTTATCAGCCATTTTACGAGTAGGTACTCGAACCTCTTCTAACCTCGTACCCTCGAAGATCACATGAGGGTTGTCCTATGGGCCGATTGAGTCCATGGTATGATGCATCTATGCTTCCAATTACTTTTTACTCCATGTACTATAATACAATTGGATCAGTGTGAAGTACCTCCATATTGCATATACCTAGCGGTCAGTTATTGCATGAACCACGCTACCTGTTGCTGCTTATTTGAATTTTGGCTTGCTGTTTACATTAGTTTACTGCTTGCTTTTGCTTACCAGGAGAGGAAATGCATGGTTTAAGGCCCCTCCTCCAAAGGAACACCTATCGCAGATAAGATGCATGTTTTTTTATTCATGGGGTTAATTTTTGTTGAAGTTCCACTGAGACAACCCGGAAGGATCATCATTTCTGTTTGAACTTAATTCTTAATCATTTATCACACTCACCTTACTTCAAAAAGAAATACAAAATAACTGTGAACTCTGAGTGTACACACAGGGGGTTATCCGATATAATTATGCATGTGAACTATCTCATTTAATTCAAATATTGAACATGTTCCTGTTGCGGAAATGATCTGGAGTTGGCAATAAAATAGTGGAATATTTAGGGTAAACCATGATATATTTTCTTGACATATGATTTTTCCTTATACTGGGTGAAATATTCGTAGTCCTATTTAATGGAACAGAACGTCATTTGATTGATAATTGCGACGTGTGTGTTAATGGTGTAGAAAACGGAACCTATCGATATCTAGGGAGTTTTCCAACTTAAACTCGCCTGAAGTAAGTTGGTGGCGCCCTTTATTATTTTTTTAATTAGAAACATTATAGAATTTCGAAACCCACCCTATACCCGGCTGAGTGCCGAGTGAATCAATTGCTCGTGCTTTGAGGCATCCGTTTTTTTTATTTATTTGGCACAGAGGGCACGTGGCAATTCTTTGAATAAATATTAACAATTAATGAAAAATTACCCTACATGTACATTATGAAGCTAATATTGCTGGGAGCCTCGAGGAAGGGCATCTTCTACTCTGTCCCGAACTCCGACGGTTCGGGCACAGTGATCAACGGTCAAATCAATGAATGATCTATGAATGATCGAATCAAATGATTGAATGATCGAATGATACCTGCGCTGGCTTGCTCACCCTTTTCATAGGACCTGTCTATATTTTAGTAAATGTGACAGTGGGGAAGTCAGGTGGATGATCCTGTTTCGTCATTGTCACGCCTGTGTTTAGGTTCAAGTATCAATCAAACGTTTGTGGTGTAATGATTTTGGAATTGATAAACACAGACATGACCGTTCAATGACTTCGAACCAATATGATTTCATCCTAATTTTGGAATGGGACTCCGAATATCTCCTCATTCGTGACAATAGATTGAAAAATACTATAATAGAAACTGATTATCAATTTGCGACTGACAATGTTTCTCAGTAACCTGAATAAAGAAATACATCAATACACTCTACTAGCCTACTGTAAACTACCATATTTCTAATCCTAATTCTATTTTTCCAGATGAAATGAAGAATTTTGCCCGCGAATGGGTCGATCCAGTCTTCCAATTCACCGTCCTCCTTTTCCTCATCCTCCTCCACATCGCTATCATCATCGGTGCCGTCATAGGGATGTCAGTGCAATCGTGGATAGTGGGATCCAGCATAAGCATCGCATTTCTCCTACTCTTGTACATAACCTTATCGTTGATTTGGTTCGCGAGCAAAAGGTACGACTGGGACTGGGCGTACAATTTCAATATCAGGTTGACGAGGAGGATGAACAATCTGAGGTTGGTGCTGCAGATTTTGTTCTGTCATCCGCCTGGGACATCACATGAGAGAACAGGAGCACAACCAATAAGGTAGGCCAAGTTCGTATCCCAAGGGAGTATAAATATTGGTTAGTTGCCAGATGTTGAATTAAAATAGTCCAATGTGAATGCAAAGAGCTGCCAGATCTACTTATAGAATCACGATAATTCAAATTTAATTGTCTTTAGTATCCCAAGAAACATTATTGTTTATAACAGGGATCAGGAATATATACAAGAAAACATATAAATCATAACAAATCAGAACAATAATTATTGTTGCACATTTTTTTTTTCATAAAAATATCAAGAACAAAATGAAAATAATATAATCCATTTACAGGTATCAAATCGTTAATGATTAGTATGGAATTAAAGAATACTGAACAGATATTTCTTCAAATTGATTTTGAATCTTTCTGCTTCTTCTATAGTTTTCAACTCATTAGGTGAGGGATTAAATAAAATTACTCCACTGATTAAATGAAATTATTCCACTATGGAGTATTGATTGTTCACCAAAATTTTGTTATAATTATTTGCTATCAATGAATTCAATTGCCTCGTTTCATGGGCGTGAATCATATTTACTTCTTCAAAATTCAAATTTGATATTATCATTCTTTCTAACAAAATGAATAAAACAAAAAAAAATTGAGACTATACAGGGTGTCCAAAAAGTTTATGTCGTAAATGATAGGGCCAAAATATTTTTAGTTACTCATATAAATAAAAAATGACTATCTCACTGTGTTACAGAGTTATTGATCTTGAAAATTTCTGCAAGTCCATCCATGAGGTGCATATGTGCATAACTCGTCATTACTAAATCCATCCATGGTCAAACCAAAGTATTTAATACGGTCAAAATAATTCGTTGTCAATGATGACAATGACTGCAACTACCATGATGTTATTGAATAAATGGAGTTTTTATTACCTATGTATGTTAAAATGTTCTTAAAAAGCGCATTTCTCTAGAACGGTACAATATATGGATTAAAATAAGGTATTTATTTATTTATTTATTTGTGGATCATCCAAACAGATGAATCTTAGTGGTTCATCCTTTAATAGGAAGATACATAGTAACATGTAAACTTATAGCAAAGTATCATTAGCTATGACAATATGTTGAGAGTTTTTACATACATATTGAAGTGCAATTTTATAAGTGCAATAAGAAATAGTAATATTATAATAAAAATAATAATACTACAAACTATTTCAATTTTTGAATGATATGGGAGCATAAAAGTCAAGCAAGAATCGCCGCAGTTTTTTTTATGATGTTGGGATGTTGCTTATAGTGGGTAACAATGTAACTGGGTTTTGTGTCTGGCAGTTGACAACCAAGACTAATAAAATAAGATGGCACGCAAGTGATGTTTGATTATGTAAGTTCGAATCACTTCTTCATCAAATATTATTACTTTTCATAGTCATTGAGTATTATTATCAGAGCAGACACAACATATTAGGTATTTTTGTAGAAGAAAGATGTCAAATTTGTCACCTTCATTAAACGAAAAAAAAAATCATCCCATCCTGAATAAAGCATAATCACTGAATAACCGTTTATTTATCCAAAGGAGCATTAGTATGAGTTGATTTAGTTGCCGAATTTCATTGATACCATGACAACTGTTGAAAAGTCATTTACTCCGTTATGAGGTGCAGTAGACATATTTTTATATATGTATAGTGCTAACATTATTTTGGCTCACTCTATCAGCCCTATCATTTACGACATGAACTTAACGGACACCCTGTATAATGAAACTTGATTCAGAAAGTTTATAGGTTTGTATAGATTTACAGTTGGTTCTAAAAAATGTAAACTGAAAATGCACTTTATTGTTTCATTTTGTAATTTCATGGCTTCAACCGTGAAATATTTGTGATTCCCCAAATAAATAATAGATCTTGTAAATTCAAATAAATAAGACAAAAATCAATACTCTCTAGTTATCTAACAGGAATAAAATTTAGTATAATCTTTGGAAGGTATCCATGGTAACTCAAAGTGGAGTGGTGTTGTTCATAGATGAAGACTCAAAGTCATCTCCACATTTTTTCTTTTGGGTGTATGATAAATTGAAAAATCAGAGATCAATCACGCAGTAAATGTTTCGGGCTTATATATGCCCATCATCAGCCGATTACAAGATTCCAGTTATGGAAATGAAAAAAGTTGATATTTAATAATGTAGACAATGAAATGGGACAAAACCCAGACGTATGCACTATGATTGTCCATAATGAATAGTTGTGTTTTTTATAAAAACATTAAAATTCAGGAATGGATCGGGTGGATGATTTTATAAGGGCTCATGTTGATTTAAATTGCGAAAGGTGACAATCAAACATCAAAATATCAAACTTGAAAGTTTAAACTCTGTTTTAATATCATTAACATACTGTTTTCTATTATCCAAATAATTTTGATAATAGTGTATTCAGTGAAATATTATGATTTACAGTGTCAAAGACCTTACATAGATCCAAAGACAGAATGCGGCATTTGTGATTTTCATCTATTTGTAACTGAATATCTGGAATGATTTCCATCACAGCTGAATCTGTGTCTCTTGACAGAAAATCCATATTGATCACTAAACGACAGGCAATCATTTTCAAGATGATTTAGTAGATCATAATTATTTTTGAAAATTTATGAAAAGTTCATAAGATTAGGAATTTGTCTATAATTATTTAAATCATCATTTCACTCATTTCTTTCCATTTTTGTGAATTGGTAATACTTTAACAATTATCGTTTTTTCAGGACTTATACCAGTTTTGTTTGATTTTCAACAGAATAGCAGCTAACTCAAATTCGATTTCACAATCTTAACAGTAATATATTCAAATCCACTGCATTTTTATACATCCAAATTATCGATTATATTTTCGATTTCTGGAATATTTTTGTTGTATAAGTAACATAGATAGAACACTTGAGCAATCTTTCACAGTGTCAGAACTATTTGACGATACATTTTGACCTACATTGATGGAATGATTATTGATTTCATTACTCATTACCTGGAAGGCGTTAATTTTTTACATCATTCACAGTAATACATTTGAGATTTTTTGTCTAATTCTTTGTTCTTTTGTTGAAAATTGAGTTTATACATTTCCATACTGAATTTGGAGTACCATCAAAAAATATTTTCATAACATTATTTTTTCCTTTCTTGTATTCTTTTTTTCTCAAATTTATTATAGAAATTATATTGCTCTTCAAAACATTCAATTTTTGGTTCTTTGATTATCCTATTTGGACTTACTTTTTTATCAAAACAGTCCTAACAAGCTGTTTATCAAAGTTGGCCCAAAAGTAATAACCCTTCTGTTACTGTACAGTGTGTCCAGTTTTCGATGCTTTTGCGTGATATCTCAGTTATCTTTCGAGATAGAACCTTGCGGTTTTCGCGGTACTGTACCACTTTTCTGTGAAACTCAAGATGGCCTAATCAGATTTTGCATAACCGTTTGCGTTTATGAGATACAGGGCGATTTTGAAAATTTATACTTTTTGGACCCCCTCTATATCTACGAAGTTTCTCAGCGAAAATATCAAATTGGAATCTTATCCCATACAGAATTTTGCGCAGAATTCAGTGGCGCACTCAAATTTTTTTTCTGGGTATGGTTTCGGAGATACGACTCAAACTTATGATTTTTTAAATGGAACACCCTGTATTTTATAAGCTCATTAAATTCCTTATTTTTTCCCCATCAAAATGAAATATGATGAATAGGTATAAAATTTTCAAAAATGCTCCAAAATCACTAAAACATTGAATTTTAATTATGGGCTATGGATTTTTCATTTAAAAAAAGTTCCAATTGAAGGGATATTTCATTTGATTCTTCAATGGAAAAGACAAAAACAATCCCAACACTAGTTAATTAAGATAACACAAAAATCAGGTACCTGATAACAACAAATGAATGGTAATAAAAAGTTCATATTCTAGAATAAGCACCTGATTTAATACTCAGTAAGACAATTGAATAGTAACTTATTCATTGAATTGTTCAAATTGATGTCCACTTTCCCTCACACGCTTTCTCAATACGTCTTAATGCATTCAAAATTATTAAAGGATGTCTTTGTAATTCCTGGAAAACTGCCTCTGTTGTTGCACGAAGTTCTTCAAGATATTGGTGACTCTTACTGTATCAAGACGTATTGAGAAACTGTGTCAATTGTGTGTTATGGGAAATGGACATCAATTTGAACAATTCAGTGAATAAGTTATCGAATAATTCCGAAATTCAATTGTATGTATTTGTAAATATTTGATCTGGTGCTTATTCTACATTATGAACTTCTTATTACTATTTATTTGTTGCTATCAGGTACATAATTTTTGTGTTTTCTTAGTTAATTTGTGTTGGTATTGTTTTTGTCCTCTTAATGGAAAAATCAAAATGAATATTCCTTCAATTGGGACTTTTTTATAAGAAAAATCCATAGCCCACTATAAAAATTCAATGTTTCAGTGATTTCAGAGCATTTTTGAAAATTTCATATACATACATTATAAATCATTTTGAAGGGAAAAAAATGAGGAATTTTATGAGCTTATAAAATACAGGGTGTTCAATTTAAAAAATCATAAGTTTAAGTCGTATCTCCAAAACCATACCCCGAAAAAAATTTTTGAGTGCGCCACTGGATTCTGCGTGAACTTTTATATGGGATGAGATTTTAATTTGACATTTTTGCTGAGAAACTTCGTAGATATAGAGGGGGTCAAAAAAGTATAAATTTTCAAAATCGCCCTGTATCTCAAAACGGAAACAGTTATGCAAAATCTGATTAATCCATCTTGAGTTTCACAGAAAAGTGGTACAGTACCGCGAAAACCGCAAGGTTCTATCTCGAAAGATAACTGAGATATCCCACAAAAGAATCGAAAACTGGACACACTGTACATTGACATTTTTTATGAAGAAGAACGCTATGTGAAAAGTTTGCGCGTGATGTTTCCCGGTCGCTTAATTTCTCGTTTGGACTCTCCAGGTGTATTCCAGTGGGGTTATTGGAAGTTTAACGTTCATGTGAACAAGCGAAGAAAGAAGAAAAAATGACAAATGTTGAGATAATCATGAAAAATGCTCTAAAATGCACCAAAATGTGCATCAACTTTGTCAGCGACAACTTGATTCATGTTGTTTTCTCGACTTGACAAAAAAAATTGCAAATGATCGACTGAACAATATTCATAAACAAGTTGTTTTCTCATGTTCAGTAGATCAGAATTCTTTCAAATATATTTCAATTAGCGAAGCAAAAGATTAAGCGCGCGCTTCTAGAAGTACAATTTGGAAGCAGTCTCAAGTATGAAACTACAGTTTATTTGATCAAACTTTGTCGTTAGTGTCATAAACTGAGGTTATACCAATAACAAGGACGCTCCACTCTTTTTAATTATTGACATTTTCATTTTTTCCGTTCGATGCGTAGTGCTTTGAACAAAATTCAAATAACAAAAATTATGATTAGTGAAGATATTTAATGTACTTGAAGTGTACTCACTTCTGCCTCATTTATTCAAATTTGCAATATTCAATTTCTATTTGGAGGAGTACAAATATTTCACCCCTAAAACCACTAATGAAATTACAAAACAAATCAACTTGATGCATTTCTCATCTATATTTTCTAGAACCAACGATAAATATATACAAACCTAGACATTTACTGAACCTGATTTCGTTATATAAACTTAATATATATTGTTTTATTTATTTTGCCAGAAATAAATAGAAAATATCAAATTCAGCTTTTAATGAAGTCGATACAGTCTATAGTTTTGGGACTAGACAATTGAATTACTTAATAGCAAATACATTCAAGTCGAACATTGGCAAACAATCTGTATTTCACAAGGGACTAATTTTTTACAATTCAATACCAAATGAGTTGAAAAATATACATGATGCAAGAAGGTTTGAAGTCAATCTTGAAAAATACTTGCTCAGGACAATTTGAAAAATTTGTGGCATGATTTTATTACTCAGAAATGAAATGTTATATCTTTCATCTTAAGTTACAATATTAATTTGTTTCCACTGAGTGGAATTCATCAATTAACCCTTTATTATATTTTTTTATGTATTCATGTATCCCTATTATGAATAGAAAAGTTTTTTGGGGTAATAAAGACAATCAACCAATCAATCAAAATGAAAAAATATTCATTCTAATCAATTGACGTCAAGTTAGATTTCATCCAGACATAATATCACATGTACATGATATAGGATTTTTGTGATTCTGTTACAAGGTAATCAGTAAAATAAGGATTCCTCATCTTGTGAGTGTTCAGTCGTCATTCAGTGGTTGACTATTATTTACAATTTATATTTCAGATTTTTCTTCACTGATCAAACTAGAGTGAGTAGTACGACTGGAGGAGAAAACTCGGTAGTTCAAATGATCGGTTCATTGTATGATGCAATCGAAAATCAATATGGATCTCTTGCTACTAGATTGTATAGAGCTTTCAAACCTAGACCAGGTATGGATAATCGCCGCTTGTAGTTATCTACCATTTCAAGTTCAATCATTATCATTTAAGTTTCATCATTTTCCGCAAATCTGTTTGACGATCAAAGTTAACATTCAAATTTACGAAAACATGACTGCAGATCATCAGATTTATATTCCATGACTCCGATTCTGATAGTCAATGAATAATGAATTTATCTCTCACGGTTGGTAAAATAAAACAAATTTGTATAGTTGTTCAATTCCCATATGCGTGTGTTTTGTTTCAGTGAAAAGTTCTGCAACCTGGACTTGGAGGAGGGTGTGTTGTTTGCCATATATTCTCTTTTTCGAAATGACTTTTTTAATGATAATAATTGGAACGTGTGCCTTGTCCGTATATCTTTTCCATATTCAATCTGAAGATGTGTGAGTATATTGAAATATTACAGCTATTTATATATCAAGAGAGCAAATGTACAATATACATACCTTGGTCCTGGAAGGGAATAAATATTTGCTCCCATGATATACAAGGTGTTAGTGAATATAAGCGACTAGCGACACACTCCGGGGGTGGTTTCTTGTGATATTTCAGAAAATAAAGTGCATATAGACATGTGTCCTAACTTGCTTCGTTTTTGAGATATTTGTTTTTTCCATCACATCCCTGTATAAGCTTTGATGGTGTCAAAATTCAGTATGTTTGGAGACTGACTGTTATGGAGGATTCGAAGAAAGGATCAGAAATAAATGTTATCTGCCTTTATATGCGAAAACAGTATTTGCTTTTCAAAATTATTTAATTCATTGACAGTTACATCAAAAAGTGAAAAATCAATAGTTATCGACAAAATACGGTGTGAAACAAAAGTACGGATCTAAAACGATCATCATGAACACATTGATAAAAACATTGATCCGTAACATCCTCCCACCATTTTGCGATAAATAGCAAAATCAATATCCCAAGCGTTTGGGAACCTTCACCAGCCGACCATATCTTGTGGAGACCTGTTCATCTCGTACATGATCACTTGGCGTCTTTGTTTCTTCAGTTGATTCAATCTGTTCCTCGATCTCTACTCGATCTCTTGCTTCTTCATGGACTTCTTTTTCTTCATCAACTTCATGGACTTCTTCTTCTTCATCTTCTCCTACCGGATTATCTTTCGATTCATCTATGTTTCTTGGTATGATGAATTCATCAGAATGATCAGGTATCTCTAAAGGATAAATCCTTTGAAATGGCCTGACTATTTCTCCACCAGATGCTAATTGGATTTTGGCAACTCTGGCTATTCCGTCTCTCCCTGGATATATTTCTATTATTCTTCCCATTGGCCAGCTTATCCTCTTCGAGTTATCCGAGCCAACTAGAATAATGTCACCAACCTTCAATTTGTCTTGTCTTCTTTGTCCTACATGGACTAGATTCGCTAGGTATTCAGTTCGAAATCGATGTCTAAGTGAGTCTCTCAAATTTTGAAGACTTCTATATCTCTTTGTCATACTAGTTCGGTTTATTATGTCTAAGTCCGGAGTTTCATTAGATTTGATTCCTTGTATAAAAACAGCAGGTGTTATGGGACTTAGCTCATCAGGATTTTCATAAACATAAGTGAGTGGACGTGAGTTGATTATAGCTTCACAGTCGCAAGTAAGGGTCATCAGTTCTTCATAAGTTACTCGCGATTTTCCTAGATTTTTTCTTAATAGTTCCTTTATGATCCTTACCATTCTCTCCCACCATCCTCCCCACCAAGATGCAGTAGCAAGATTGAAAAACCATCTTATTTTTCTTACTGTGGAGTATTGAACGCTGGTGTTCCAATCTAAATCTTTTAACAAATTATTGGCTCCCACAAAGTTACCACCATTATCTGAATAAATTACGGAAATTCTACCTCTTCTTGCTATAAACCGTCTCAAAGCATGTAAAAAAGCTTCTGTTGAAAGTGACTGTACAATTTCGAAATGACACGCTCTATAAACTGCGCAAGTAAAAATGACAATCCATGCCTTTTCACGATTTCTCAGAAATAGTGGACCTGCTAAATCTATTCCAGTTATTTCAAAAGCAGCCGCACTTTGTATTCTATTCTTTGGTAAAGGAGCGAATGGTGTTTCGAGTGCTTTACTTTTGAATCTTTTACAAATAACACATTTGGAAATCAAATATTTCACCATTCTGCGGCCTTTTAAAATCCAAAATCTCTCCCTTAATATCCCTAAAAGTGTCTGTACTCCTGCATGATACGAACGTTCATGCTGCTGTATTATTAAACGTTCAACTAATATATGTTTATATGGCAGGAGTAATGGATATTTAAAATTATCAGGTTCTTCTCCAAAAACAAGTTTCGTTTTGACTCTCAGTAACCCTCTTTTATCCTTAAAAATCTGCAAATTTCCTAAACTGCTTCTATCTTTATCTCCGAAACATTCACTCTGCAACATTTTGAGAAGTATAATTTCAGCATTTTCATACTCTTCATAAGTTAAATCTATTTCCTTCCTCTCAACCAATTTACGAGTTGATTCATAAAATCGCCATATCCATCCTAGCATTCTAACTATTTTGGAATACTTCGAAAAGTGAACTATAAAATCAGCACAAGAATATCCTGCCTCACAGATCAAAGTTGTAACTTTACCCTTTTTGCATTCGTCATATGCCTCTTTTTCATCATAGGTTTTAGTCACATTCGGCCAGAACTCAGGAGACTCTTTCAACCACTCAGGCCCAGACCACCATTGGCATTCGACTAATAATTTTGCACTACAACCTCTGGACGGAAGATCAGCTGCATTCTGGTCACCTGATACATGATTCCATTGATTGATATCACTATATCGTCTGATTTCAGACACCCTGTTTGAAATAAATGTGTTCCAATTCGACTTGGTTTTGATCCAAGTTAAAACTACTTTCGAATCACTCCAAAAATATGCCTTCACATCTCTAAAATGGTCCACTTTCTTCACTAACTGATACAATCTGCACCCAATAACTGCAGCAAGTAACTCCAATCGTGGTATTGTGATAGGTTTTATAGGGGCAATTCTAGACTTTGCTTGTAATAAATGAATTCTAACATGTTCATTCTCTTCAACTCTGATGAATATGCAAGCAGCATAAGCTAATTTACTTGCATCACAAAAAATGTGAATTGACGAATTTCTACAGTCTTTGAACATATTAAATCTACAGAGACTCCTAGGGATATGACAAAGATTCAATAAATGAATTTGACGTAACCAAATCTTGAATTTTTTACTAATTTCATCTGGTAATTCATTATCCCAACTACATTTACTTGACCAAGTTTCCTGCAATAATAGTTTCGGTAATAAGGTAACAGGGCACGTGAAACCAATCGGGTCAAACACTCTGTGTGCTGCTGATAGTAAACCTCGTTTAGTGTTCGAAATTTCATCTAAATTTGTTAAATTACCAACGTCACAACCTAAGGTATCATTTTTAAAATTCCAATGAAGACCTAATACTGATACTGTATTTTCAGTGATTGATGGCATTTCACTCTGTTTCTCATCAAAAATCTTTGGACAATTATAAATCCATCCCCTTAAATCAAACTGTGCTGCAAACAGAAGTTTTCTGGATTCTATAATGAATTTCTCTAATTCAGCTTTGGTATTGACACTTGTAACACAATTGTCTACATAAAACGACTTGCTCAACTTCTCTGCAGTTGTTCGTAAATTTTCAGGTGCATTTTCTAAATGATATGCCAATGTGGCTGCTAGCAAAAATGGGCTTGAAGATACACCAAATACAACTCTCGAATGTCTATATATCAAAATTTCATTTTGTAATGCATTTTTCCACCAAAGAAAACGCAAAACATCTCTATCTTGTGGAGCTATGCTAATCTGTAAAAATGCCTTTTTTATGTCGGAAATCACGCCTATCAATCCTATCCTAAATTCCATGAGTATATTCGGGATCAAGTCTATCAAATTTGGCCCTTTTTCTAAACACCCATTGAGAGAATTTCCATATTTATCTTTTTCCGAAGCATCGAATACTGGGCGGATTTTCGTTGTGGTGCTTGATTCTTTAATTACAGGGTGATGAGGTATATAATGTTCTACAATATCAGTTGAATCGAGCTCTGAAACCTCCTCAATTATGCCTAATTCTGTCCATTCTTTGAAAATCTTATCATATTCAGAATATTTATCAAGATTGTTCAATTTTTTAGTGGTAGCAATCAATCTTTTATAAGCTAATTCTCTGTTATCAAGAAGTTTCGCCCTACACTCTGCCCAAGGTAGTTGTATCTCATATCTTCTTTCTGAATTCTGTTTAATGGTTGCGTAAAAATGCTTCAATGTCTCCGCTTCTACAACATCCTTACTTTTAATCGCTACCGGATCAACAATTCCTAATACATCCAAAGTCCATAAATTAGATATTTCTTTTACATCGAATGTACAGAGTGTTTCAAAAGAACTAGTTTTATTACATATTCCCATTATAGTCCATCCTAAATGTGTTTCAACTGCAACTAAATCTTGTCCCAACTGCTCAACCCTTCCTGTCAATAGCTGTCCATAAATATCTGCCCCCAAGAGTAGACTGATCTCATTAGATTCAATATAAAAATCCGAAACAATTATATTCCTTCTTTCCAGCCCCCTAGTTGAATCAATATTTCTGTATTTCAGTGAATAATACAAATTTTCATCTGTTCTAAAGCCCTAACACAGCAGCTGAACGTACTATTCAAATTCTCAACTGTTATGTCATATAGAGTATGGACTTCAGGACTCGATTTAAGGCCACCGAAAACACTTTGTATGATTGTTTCATTCCCAACTTTTTTAAAATTCATATTTTCTGTACAACTTTTCAAAATATAAGATCGTTGGGAAGCAGAATCCAATAAGGCTCTAACAATTATTGAACTATCACCATGTACTAGTTTGACAGCAACAGTTTGCAACAAAGTGCCTGTAGTATGATTGCTAACCAAGCTATTTTGTTGCACGTCTTCTGTTTTTGAACTGTTCTGCTCAATTTTATTTTCTGGACTTTTCTTAATTATTGTCAAGTCAGGACAAAGTATTGGTAAATGCCTTTTCCCGCAGATTATACATTTGATGAACGCTCTACATCTTTTAATGCTATGATTTTGTTTGAGACAGGCAAAACATGCTCTCTTCTTAATCACAATATCTCTTCGTTCATCTAGAGAAAAAGTTCTGGCCTTCAAGCAATCCTTACTAACATGGGACTTACTATCGCAAAATAAGCAAACATTAGTGATTTTGTTACCTCCACTTCCTGTAGACAGTATCGTGGCTGCTGTGTAGTGTTCTAACTCACTATCATCCTGATGTGACATTTTCTTACTAAGCTGCTTCTCAATCACTTGGCTGCGACTGCTGCCTTTGTAGTCCTTGTTATTCATGAAGCTCGTCCTTGCTAGCCCGATCCGTTCCTCACTTTCCACTTCATTTCGCAGGAAATCTAATAAAAGCGTCAAATAATTAGTTGACTTGTCAGAACATTTACTATTATCACTAAGATCATCATCTTTAACTTTCAGACTTCTTCGATGCCTTTCCCATAATTTCAGGGTGTCTTCAGGTAGAGCAGACTCCACAAGAGGATATAACATTGAGGCATATTTGTTACTGGTTACTCCCAATGACTCCAGTGCTCTCAACTGAGTTTCTAATTTGTCGTACAAAACTGTTAAAGACATACCTGAAGATTTGTTGAGTGTTGCTTGTTTCAATACCAAACTTAGAAGTTCTCGTACGTAAACCTCGATTAAAACCTCATCCCTAGCGAATCTAGCCATCAGTTGGTCTACTGCCTTTCCATAATTGATTCCAGACGACGGGAAACCCTCGACCAATGATCTTGCTGGTGATCCTGGTTCCATGGCTTGCAGTAAATACTGGAACTTATCTTCACCGTCGATATCATCGTCTTCGTGGATTTTTCGAAACTGGCCCCAAAATCCAATCCAGTTCCTGACGTCTCCATTGAATTTCAGTAGTTCTAACTTTGGTAACTTGAATCTTCTCTTGCAATTCGATCCGCTTCCTATACTCCTGGCATCCCCAGCAACACACTCTTCATTTCTTGAATCATTAGCTAATGCCAAATCACATCTAGTACGGTACTTGATGATATCATTTCGGAACTGCTCTATTGTATTGAACTCCTCTTCTATCTCGGTATCATCTTCTGAAGAAAGGATGTATTGACGCAGTTGACCATCAACCTCAAATATTCGTTCGGCTTTATCTTCTAACTGACCCAATAAAGCGACGATATTCTGTCTTCTGACTCTCGTATCACAGAGCTCAAATTCCAAATCTTGGCATGTCTGTCTGAACATTTTTCTAATCAGTGATCGTTCTTTCTTCACCAGGCATGCTTCCTCCGCACTTTGTCCTGTCACGGTCGCCATTTATGTTATGGAGGATTCGAAGAAAGGATCAGAAATAAATGTTATCTGCCTTTATATGCGAAAACAGTATTTGCTTCTCAAAATTATTTAATTCATTGACAGTTACATCAAAAAGTGAAAAATCAATAGTTATCGACAAAATACGGTGTGAAACAAAAGTACGGATCTAAAACAATCATCATGAACACATTGATAAAAACATTGATCCGTAACACTGACAAAGTCTCAAAAATTCAAAATGGTCCTCATTGAGTAATATTTAGTGATATCGATGGGTTTCTTGAGAGCACCTTCATGAAAATTAGAATAGAATATATTCGTTTCTCTTGGAGCGCACGAAAGGAAATTCCTATGATGATGTTCTAAGAACATCGTGCGTACCTAGGGAGGAAAGAGAGAGAGAGAGAGAGAGAGAGAGAGAGAGAGAGAGAGAGAGAGAGAGGACAGAAAGAGAGAGAGAGAGAGAGAGAGGACAGAAAGGGACAGGAGGTAGGTGTTGGATTTTTTTTTGAATCTTTTATAAGTTCTTGGGAATACTTGCATCGGCAAAGAATTCCGAAGCTTTGTCGTTCTATAGACGAATAAGTGTTTTTTGACATATTTCAAGGTTGACAAACGAAAATATTTGCTGATTGGGCCTGTCGAGCCTGGAATGGTAGCAGAGATTTCTGAGGAATATTTCCCGTGGAAGTATGTATAGAAAAGTGATAGGTCGCCGACTTTTCCATGGTGTTCTAATGAGGTCAAAGTATCAGTGAGTGTGGCATCGCCCACTAGGCGAATGGCTCTTCCTTGACTGGAATCTAAGAGCATTAGCGTATGTTTGGGTGCTGAACCCCATATGTGAGAACAGCATTCTTAGACTGGCCATATCTGTGCTTTGTAGATCATGAGAAGCGTTGAGGTGTAAAGTATAGTTTATTGCACAGAATAAAAAACCGAGTTTTTGTGGAGCAGCTTTCGTGATGGATCGGACATGATTTTCCCATGAAAGAGTATTGCTGATGGAAATACCGACCATAGGTATATAGGTCTTAGTGGGAGACACTGTTATATCGGTATTCAAAACTGAACCAGAATGAATTTGACAATTCTGTCATTATAAATTAATGAACATTTTACGGCTGGAATATGAAGAAATGAAATAATGTATTAGGAAAAAATGTTATTTGTTCTATAATAGAGTGTGAATACTCAAAGATAATAGTGATGGAGACACTGATTACTTTGATTGCACGGATCTAATAGGTATAACGACAACAAAAATGCATGATGAAGCTAATTTATTTCACCTCCCACCGGAGGTAATATTTTTTTCCTCCTGTGAGATTCAATTGACAACCCTCATTCCATCCCTATCAGTCAGACGAACTCGACAAGCACAGTCTACACATCCTTTCGTTGTCAACCATGAAATATATCGAACAACACTCTACCGAAACTCGTTTATCTATAGCCCGGTAAAGCTTTGGAATTCTCTGCCAAAGGAAGTATTCCCAAGGACTTATAATCTCCAAAAGTAAAAAAAAACAATACCTACCTCCTCTCCCGTTCCTTCCTATGTACGCATGATGTTCTTCGAACATTATAGGGATTTGTTTTCGTGCGCCCCAAAATATAAAAAAAACTCTGCTCTTTTAAATGTAGGAGCAAACGCATACTTTCGATTCAGTGAGTAGATTGAATATCTTTTCTATTTGCATCAGTCGGTATAGATTATCCAGTTAACCAAAAGGTGTTATGAAAAGGGATATGCTATTTCTTTATACTATTTGTCAACGGATTTTTAACAACTCATTCACACATTCCACTGGAGATGCTTTAATCAATGCTCGTTTTAACGGGAAAAATTTTTGATAGATATCTTTGTCTCTCTTTCATTAGTGGCGTTCATACACTCAATGCACTAAATAATTGAGAACAGCATCAATAAATTATAATAATTCATAAAAATATCTTGAAAGTGGTTACTTCTTTTCTACGGAAAAATAATAATTCACAAATTCAATGTTAACTTGAATGTGAGTATAATATAATGTTTTTTCTTTTCAGTGGAAATGATGATATAACTGGCTTTACATTGAAGATTATATTGATAGTTGCTGCCTTGTTGTTGGGTATTGCCACTATAGCTAATATGTATACGTGGAGTAGAATGCTGGTAGCTTTGCTGTTTTCTCAGAGGAGGCATTTGCAAAGGTCGATTGCGAAGCTGGAAACTCTGAAGTCGGAGGGATTCTTGCAAACTTTGAGACAAGAGGTGAGAACTGACACTAAAGGGCATATCTTCATGAGTTAACGCGATCAGATTGTTAACGAATCGTTGAAAGGTGCGTTCGGTTATAACATAATATCTGTTAGCTCGATTCCATCTGTTAGTCGGAATGCGTTCGATAAATCAGATCTACTTCCTCTGTCTAATCTGCTTCGTGTTCGTTAATTGTCAGAGCGAGCTGAAAGATGTAATCTGTTTGCTCCGCTTTGAGGAGCAGATCATTCGGATTTGATCGGTTATTCGGTTGTCAGTTGTCAACAAATCAATTTCAACAACATGTTATGGAAATTATATCTCTTTTGTGTCGAAAAATGAAAGACTTGATCAACTGGAAACGAAACACGAAACTGAATTTTGTAGAATCCTCCTCGCCCAGAATCGCCAGAATGACCGACGAATTTGCTCTTGGAAGCATATTATAAACAGATGTGCATTCATTAGTATGTAACGCCTATTTCTAATCTGATATGGAATTGCGATATTTTCAAAATATAAATCCAAGTAAACAACAAACATTCAAAAGAATTTTGTTGCCCTGACGTGTTTTTAAAAGTAATAAGGTTAAGTGAATTGGTTCTGTTTTCTCTAATTGGAAGGATTCTGCCGCTTGGTGTGTGATGAGAACTCGACCTCCCTGCCGATTGGCTCAATTGGCAGAGCGTTGGGCATGTAACCCAGAGGTTGTGAGTTCGACTCTCACACGGGGCGGTGGAGTTTTTTCATTTGCCATTGTCACTCGAAATTAGGGCTTTCCATCATCTTCATTATTATACTTCTGACAAGTGGCGCTCGCAATCTACTACCTCGTTGAGCGTTCGTTGAATATCTTTAGCTCTATCAGCTAGGTGTCAGGTGACACCAAATCTGTATCTGCTCGCTCGGCTCCGATTTCGTTAAACCGCACGCACCTACAGGAGTATTGAGAAAGGATGGCATTTCGCAACATGGCCAGTTACGGAGAATAGCGGTTAATGTCGGTTGAACAATTCATCCTTATAATATGTCATAATATATGTATCAACAGGATGTTACAATATTCCTTGACTTGATATTGAGTAGCCAGAATTTGCTGCGTGCCATCCGCATGAAGCTGATTTTTCAAGAGATATAAAAAATGTCTCAACCCCTTGAAAATTGTGTAATGTTCAGAACTTTAAGACGGGCCTATCGCGACAACTTTCCGACCGAATATAGCCTATATATATATATATACTAGTTCAACAACTATTTCTAGGTGTCGGTGTGATGTCGAAATCGGAATAAAATAATTAAATTACAGCTTTTACAGCAATTGTAGAGTTCTTCGATTTCGTCTGTTACAGCAGGTCACCAATAGGTGGCACACAATTGAATGCAATCGTAGGTAATTGTATTATGTACGTGCAGTGTTGCCAGAGCTACTGCTCCACGAGCCTGCTCAACATGATTCCACTTTTCACTCCATTCAAGTCAAGCAAATACCTATATCTCGCTACAATGAAAATTTATGTCATGAGTCATTTTTGAAACTGTCTTCACAAGTAGTCTTTCGAATATTTCTTTTCCTTTTTAATTTCATTTCCTACTAATATAACTTATCATTATTGGCGTCGCCATCAGAAAAACTTCCAAGGAAGGGGATCGAAATCATTGTTCAGGGCAAAATTGTCTGTGTAATTCAGAAATAATGTGTGCAAGATTTTTTATCAAGGTCAGATGGCTATAAATAGAAATTTCGTGTTTTCTGTATAGGATATATACTTAGACGATTGCCTAATTTCAAATATCTTCATTCTTACGAATTCACACTGCTATTACTGATATAAGGGTTACATTGATATATACAGTGTGTAGAATGTAAGAAATCCTTGATTCAAATTTCATGTTCTCTAATTCAGACCTGCTTGCTGAAATACAAACTTCGATCATAATTGCACTCATGAAAAAATCAATTTTTTCGTGGTGAGAACTTCTAGGCGCGTTGAGCACTTTTTTGGGTGGAGGAAAACATTGGATTTCGCGTCATCGTCACTACCCGTCCCGTGTCCCGTCATCGCGAGGTCAATAAATAGCAATAAATTTGAAGGGTGCAGTATCGCATCTCATCTCATATTATGTAGTATTTTGTAATTATGATTAGATTCTATTCTGAATTGGTATATGGAGGTTTTCGGGGTCAGAGATTATGATTCTTTCGTGAAAATTGGGATATTGAAGATGGCGAGCGGCTGCTATATTTTCAAATATTTTGTATGTGGTTGACTTTTCCGTTGCCTCACTTTTCTGCCCATTCTTATGAATTTTTGCGACATATCATTTGCAGCAGCTTGCAACACTGGCTTTTCAATTATTAGATTATATGTCGGTTAGTTTGAAGTGCTGAATTTGTATGTTTAAATTTTCAGGTCTACTTATATAATTATAATTCAGTGACAAATTCTAGGCCGTTTCAAAGTACTCTCCATTTTCTACCCACTTCTTTTTAGTATGGCTATCTATAAAAAGGTGGTTCATTAGTTTTTCAAACTAATATTTATCACAATAGCTGATACCCGGCAAACGTTGTTCTGCTATATACAATTATTTCAAGAATTTTTTTTTGTAGTTAAATATTTATCAACATACTTTTATTTATTTGTTTTCTAATTCTTCTCCGACCCCGAAAACACCCAGATACAAATTTTGAATAGAATCAGATCATAACTACAAAACTCAGTTGCCATCCTCCATCATCAATTTCCTAATTTTGATGAAGAATCATAATCTCCCATCCCAAAATTCCCCATATACAAATTTGGAATGGAATCGGATTAAGTTACAAAACTCGTCAGCCATATTGAATCTGCCATCTTGGATTTCCAAATTTTGATAAAAGGATCATTATTTTCGACTCCGAAAACACCCCGATGCCAATTTTACATAGAATCTGATCATGATAATTAAAAAACTCGTCCACCATATTGGATCCACCATTTTGAATTTCCCCATTTTGACAAATGATTCATAATTATCTCCGATCTCTAAAACCTCCAGATACAAATTCTGAATAGAATCTGACCATAATTACAAAACTCGTCCGCCATATAGGATCCGCCATTTCGAATTTCCTAATGTTGATAAAAAATCATAATCCCTGAGCTCGAAAACCCCCAGATACCAATTTTGAATGATATCTGACCAATCTGTTCTATTCAGCACCAAAACATACGATGATGCTCTCAGATTCCATCCAGAGAAGAGCCATTCGCCTGGTCGGTGACGCCACACTCACTCACTCTTTGACATCATTGGAACACCGTAGAAAGGTCGGCGACCTTTCACTTTTCTATCGATACTTCCACGGGAAATGTTTTTCAGAAATCTCTGCTACCATCCCTCCACTAGCAATACCAGTCAGACGAAGTAGACAAGCCCAGTCAGTACATTCTTTCGTTGTCAACCTCGAAAGATGTCGAACAGCACTTAATCAAAACTCCTTCATCCATAGAACGGCTAGGCTCTGGAATTCAGTGCCTGAGGAAGTATTCCCAACAACATATAATCTCCAGAAGTTCAAAAAAAACTCCAATACCTACCTCCTGTCCCTATCCTCCCTAGGAACGCACGATGTTCTTTGAACATTATAGGGATTGCCTTTCGTGCGCTCCAAGCGATAAAAAAAATAATTACAAAACTCGTCCGCCATATTGGATCCGCCATTTTGAATTTCCTTATTTTGATGAAGAAATCATAATCTCCGACCTCGAAAACCCCAAGATACCAATTTTGGATGGAATCTGACCATAATTACAAAGCTCGTCCGCCATATTGGATCCGCCATCTTGAATTTTCAAAATTTGACGAAATATTCATAATCTCCGACCCCGAAAACCCCTGAGTACCAATTTTGAATGAAATCGGTCGCCATATTGGATCCGCCATTTTGTATTTTCTATTTAAAAAATAGATTTCGACCGATTCTAATACCTACCGAATACGCACAAAAAATTTCATACGAATCGGTCGAGCCGTTTCGGAGGAGGTCGACCACTATCACCGTGACCGTGACAGGAGAATTTTATATATTAGATTTGTTCGTCCTACAAACACTCGGAGAACCACCCCTTGAAATATGCCCAGATAATTGTAAAATCCCCTCTGTATTATCACGTCGCCTAGATTTCATAATATGTGCGAGTCCGAGGACACTCTAGACTATGGAATCGGACGGTGAAGGAATGTCCCCTCCTAGAGATGCCGGGGGACAGTTTCACTCCTGTCATTAGATTCAGCAAAAGGCCTCAGTCAATTATCCCGAAAAGGGAGGACTGGGAGCAGTTCGGGCACCGCCTGATCCCTACCACTGGAATCATTTGGTACACAGATGGCTCCAGGATGGAGGGATCGGCAGGAGCTGGGGTATATGGGCAATCTCCGAAAGCGGAACTCAGTTACCCCCTGGGGAACTTTGCTACAGTGTTTCAGGCAGAGGTTTTTGCCATTCTTGCCTGTGTTAGAGAAAATATCAACAGAGGCTACCATGGCCAGCTGATCACGATATGCTCCGACAGCCAGGCGGCGATCAAGGCCCTCACATCATACAGGGTCAGTTCGCTGTTGGTGTCGGAGTGTATTGATGAGCTTCAAAGGCTATCCGCAGCCAATAAGGTGAAACTCCTCTGGGTCCCAGGACACAAGGGAATTCCCGGTAATGAAAGGGCCGACTCCCTGGCTAGACAAGGAGCAAATAGCTCAGCCATTGGACCAGAACCAATCTTAGGAGTTTCCAGATCCTGGAGCGTCTCAACCATGATGAAAAGCTTGGAAACGAAATTCCAGGAGGTATGGAGAGAGACTCCAGGCATGAGACAATCGAAACTCCATATCGAAGGCCCTTCTATCAGAAGAACCAAAACGTTGCTCACATTGAGCAGAAAAGAAATAAGAATAGTGGTAGGGCTCCTCACGGGTCACTGCCATCTAAACAGGCACCTCAACATTATGGGTATCACTGATGATGCTGAATGTAGGTGGTGCCTGGAGGACGAGGAGTCAGCTACTCACATCCTCACGGAATGCCCAGCAGTTGCAGCAATACGGGAAGCACATCTCGGGAACATCGTTTTGGAACCAGAGAGTGTGAGAAGGGTTTCGTTGAGAAGGCTGGTCTCTTTCGCCCGCGAAATTGGCTACCTTCAAGACTGAACCAATTCCCAGCAGAGGTGGGTGCATAACGGGCCCGAACTAGGAGGCCTACATGCTGAAGGATCCGTCCGCCCACATGGTGTAATCTATCTATCTATGTCCGAGTAATATGTATAACATTGGCAACGGTGTAAACGGGTTTGAATTCATCATCTCTCCTAAGCGCCATCTGCTGTCTGTCATTTCGAACACTGCCATCTATCAGGTAGTGCCTGAACTACCACATCCTAGTTTCCTGCATTATATTCTTTCAAGAAATGGAGTTTACCGAGATCAGCTGGGATGAATGGATATTTTGTTGACAGAATAATCGTTTTTGTTGCTTCTTGTCCGAATGGAAACATTTCAAGAGCTGATATTTCAGTGACACCTCACCGAATTTCCCACAATTGTACTGAGATCGAAAATATTTCAATTTGGGACAAAAAAATTTCAATGTTTACGTTTTTCAAAAATCTGTGTATCTTCTATAAATAAATGAGTTTCGACTCCGTATGATAACCAGGCCCTAGTCCCAACCTTCTTCTTTACGATGATTTAATCAGTTTTTCAATTGAATCATTCATAAGCCCAAATAGCAACAACTAGTGCAGGCCTGCATGTCGATTAGGTTGAAACTCTCCTCTCAAGAACATAGTACGGGTGAGTTAGAAGTAGATTGACAAATTTACGTTATTTCAACAGTTTATAGGAGTTATGACTTCAAATGCATCCTATTTGAGATACTAGTTGTTGGATATGAGAAGAAAATTCAGCATTACATTTTTTTTTGTCTTGAACACGTAGCAATATTATCTCAAGACATTTCTTTAGTTTTTCGTAAATATCTCAGGAACCCTTACATTTGGGCTTGTGAAATGTTATTAATACTCCAAGAAATTACCTTGATCATTCTGAAATAGTATACCAGGTCCGAATTTTTGTCCCACATGGGTGCCGAAGAAATTGATAAAAACCTTAATTTTTTTCGTAGTTTCATCACTTTATATCTCAGAGAGAATGCATTTCAAGACAAACATTGATAAAAAACTTTTCAAAATGAGGTTAAGAATCCGTATACGAAGTTTGTCGGTCTTATTATGACTCACGCTGTATAAAATCGATTGCAGTTAACAACAGATGAATGTTGATTTGGTATGCAATATGTTTTCTAAGAGACCGTGTAATGAAGCAATTCAATAAAAAAATTATGGAACTTCAATCTACTTCGGATGATCATTTGAAATATATGAAGACAAAACTTCTTAATTCGAAAAACATGAATATACTCACTATTTCTTGTCCTGAGGTATACATTGATCAGACAGGTAGACATTTGATCACCACAAGGTGTTTATTGACTCAACATACAGTAGCCATACCATTAAAAAAGCTTTGATGGCAATTTTGGAATCATTAGAAAACAACAAATCCAAAAACTTTCTTGCTTTCGAATTTGTTTTCTCAGATTTGTTTGTTATTGCTCCTTTCAAGTTAATGCATCACACCGAATACTAATGTAGATATTGTGCATGCTTTTCGCCCTCGCGGATAGTTCTAATCATTCAGGTTTGTAAATCAATGTAAGTGATGCAAGTCAAGGCTAGGTTAATTTATTGTACAGGGTGGCCAACTAAGAATCCAGAGTTCGATACCTCTGTTGTCTTGAGAGATACAAAAAAAAGTTTTGCATTCAAATTAAAGTGATAACCGAGCTTCACATTTCAAAATTTCTTTGAAATACACAGGGTGTTCCTTAAGGTGACAGCACATCAAAGCTATGTTTTTTTCATTGGAACACCCTATATTTTATTTCATTTCTGAATTCTCCCTGAAGATCTGATTTCAACGACGTATCATACTTAGGGTCTAGCAGTGAAAGTTACTGACATATAGGGTTTACAAAATCGAGATTTTCCGAGTTCAGGATTTTTTTCTGTCGAAACTGTTCATTATTCGTCAAAACGGTTTACATGTCCCTATTCCAACTTTTCACTCACTATCGATTGGTGTTCAATTGAAATTGATACAAGGTGGTCAAAAAATCTTAATTTATAATTTGTTTCAATTGAATGTCAATGGAACACCAATTGATAGTGAGTGAAAAGTTGAGATAGGGACATGTAAACCGTTTTGACGAATAATGAACAGTTTCGACAGAAAAAAATTCTGAACTTGGAAAATCTCGATTTTGCACACCCTATATGTCAGTAACTTTCACTGCTAGACCCTAAGTATGATGGGTCATTGAAATCAGATCTTCAGGGAGAATTCAAAAATGAAATAAAATATAAGGTGTTCCAATGAAAAAAACATAGCTTTGATGTGCTGTGACCTTACAGAACACCCTGTGTATTTCAAAGAAATTTTGAAATGTGAAGCTCTATTATTACTTCAATTTCGATACATAATTTTTTTTGTATCTCTCAAGACAACAGAGAAATCGAACTCTGGAGTCTTAGTTGGCCACCCTGTACGAGTATTCCACTTGAAGAAGTTACTATGTTAGCGAAATGGAAATAGGATCGTTTGTGAATTATTTTTCATTTACTATGAATTTCGATCAAGTAACAATCGAGTCCATCCAGAATATAGTTGATTGGCTTGGAAATTGTACAGGAGTTTTCCATTCAAAATATACCAGTTTCGATTAATCACTAGATCAAACGTCGCCCATTTCATACCATGGAAGAATTGATCATGTAAATAATCACTAGCTTAGGCATTTTAATTAGGCCTGATCTACAATTAATCGATTTACGTGTATGTACATCGCGTGAGTGAATTTTACCACGTTTAGTCTGGGGCCCTACCAAAATTACAGAACTATGAATATTTTGTTCAAAACGCTGATTCAAAATCAAGAGGCTATCTTACAGATAAATTTGAGAATGATAATATGTTGAAATATTCGTTCCAGGATTTTGAAATGTTTACCAATGGTCGCGCCATCTATGTTTGAATACGCGATCGGTATCCCCTTGAATTCATACAAATATAGGGTATATAGGGTATTGCCCTAATTTTAATTTTTATTATTTGTTTCGATGCTATAGTAAATCTCAAAATTTCTCAGGATTCAAATTATGTGCATTTATTTCAATGTCACCTTTATGACCAAACATTCAATAAACATCTGTTGGTGACTCGGCTACTGTGTTTCACTTCATCTAACTAAAGGCAAACATCGTGTAGCCACGTTTACACAACTGAATCTTCTTCGGGTGTGAATTGAAGATAACTTATACGTCCAGTTGATATTAGACAGACAATTTCTGTAACTTTTTAACGTTTGAATGAGGAGGCTTCACTGGTGATTTTAAGATACCTCAAATGCTCAAAACCATCTTGAACGAATTTTCGAATTGAATAGTTTGTAATTATGCTGATTGAAAAAATTTAAAAAAAAAGAACCCACCTGCCGATTTCAAATGTTGGCGATATTGTTTATATATATATTTCTTTCTCTTTCAGGTTAACTTAATGCAAGATATGGTGAAATGTCTCGACAGTCTAAGCTCCCAACAGACAAGGCTTGTAGTTATAGTAGATGGGCTTGACAGTTGTGAGCAAGATAAGGTGCTGTTGGTGTTAGATACTGTACATATGTTGTTTTCTGATGCAAATAATCCTTTCATTGTGATATTAGCGATAGATCCTCATGTTATTGCCAAGGTGAGTTGAACATCTCCGTAATTTGTCGTCCCTTTCGAATTATTTTTTGGCAGGAAAAACTAGCTCCCAGAAAATTTGAATTTTCTGTCAATTTTCACTTTTCATAATCAAATATTGAAATTCATTAAATATGTGCATATGTATATGACCGGTATTAACTTTTCAACTTCAAATTTTCAAGAACTAGAGTGAAACTGGTTCCTACCGCGTTAATAATTTCGACATTAAGTATCTATAATGAAAATCTACTAGATAACTTAGTCAGTGGTTGAACGGTCAAACGCGCTATGTTTAAAATTTTTATACATACCAGTCGCGTGTCCAATTCCAATTTGTAATTGAGAAACGTTTTGGTTGGGGCTTCTTAGGATTGTTTTGGCCACCAATGTGATGAGTGTTCGGAACGTAACACTATGTTGTTGTATTTGTTATGAATTAGTAACATCACTTTGAGTAACATAATATTGTAATTTTTCTGATATTAAACATGGCGCAGTCGGTAGGGAACGAATCTATACGCTTCCACAGTCAACGATAGTCAGTGGAGAGGTTTATATCATGGATAATATATCAGGAAAAATGTTATAGAACATAACCAATCTGTCCTCTACTGAAATTTCATGAATCATTTTTTTCATAATGATATCAGAAACGAGAAGACCCATGAAGGCTTAAGATTCAAATGAATTTCAAAATCCTTCCCTCCATTGTTCATTCTGTTCATACATTATATCATTTATGTCTGTTTAATGTTTGATGTTAGTTGACAATGATTGTTTTGTTGCTGAGGTCCCATTTGTACAAGTTGTTCACGTTTATTTCAAAACTCCCTTATCAGTAGAATTTATTATAGTGGGTAGCAACAAAACGAACATTTTTGGGTATTTTCGAACCATCATATAAAGAGCTAATTGAATATCACAGATAGGAGAGAAATACTCATATATCAGTTTTTGAACTCCCTGTATATTATTCATTATAGATCATAATGATTACGAACTGAACGATACTAGATTTGATGGAGTAATGTCGAACGACTATGGTCAAAAAATGTCTCCAAATGTTAAGTGTTACATAATTTCACACTCATGTGACATTTTGGAGTATTTTGGTCGTATCTTCACAGTCATTCGAGATAGCCCTATTAAAATCACTATTGTTAAGAGTTACGATATCTCAAAAAATCGATTATATATATATATATTTCACATTTGTGATGTTCACTCATATGTTTGATGGCAAACTGATTGTTTGAGAAGTATGCTACAATTTTCATCTGTTATTCACGATGATTAAATAGGGTCGGGTCTGAAAAAATACTCTCTTCCTCGACATACAAAGAAATAACTTACAGAAAGCAACAAATTTCAGTACGTGTCCGAAATTGTCTCCTCCAAATGTCCTCCGAATGGTTCTCGGTAACGAAAGTTTCATACCATTTTCCTTGTTTCGGCACAATTTAACAATATTTATTCAAATTTGAGATTCAAGATTTGTATCGAGGGATATTCAGATAGAATTTTAGAGTTGGTGACAATAATTTGTACCTCTTTGACATTGCTATAAATTATTTGTTATTTGATGCAGTTACCAATCCGTGAATGCAAATATGTCTCAAAAAGTTAACTTGAAGCTCATTAATGTAATACAATGCGCTCTTCAACATTGTCCTTCCAGTGTCAAAACAGAGGGTTTGGTTATCCTTGATTCATTATGAATAAAAATGTTAAAATACCATTCCGTGGTGAATCCTTAGAACATTCGATCTATTGACTTGTTCGGGAACGTCTCCGATTATGTACTTGTTTTATATATATAAATATCTACTATGTCGTCCAAATTATCTGAAGGATTATCTTCAACGATGGGCAAATTAATTGTTCACAAAAATTTTGAACTAAACGGACAATAAAAATTGATTAATAGCGAATTCCATTGGCAGGAACTGGTGGAATGTTTCTCCACTGAGTGTATATTTAACTCTGTTCAATACATGCGAGTGAGAAGTAAACATATGGAATTTGCTATAAGATAGTTTTGAGCATTTTTTTCATCATCTTGTCATAAGATTTCACCCAGTTTTTTATACTTTTTGTGAGTAGTACATGGTCAATTTTCAAGTCAAGTTTTCGGATTTTGTTTTGCTTTTCTCTGGAAGTAGGTAAATTTTTCACTGTGATTAAGTTTAGCGAATATAGCTATCATGAAGGCAATTATAAACTGGCAATTATTCAAACAACGATATGAAATCATCAAGCCTGTCATAATAACATTAAAAGCTTCACATATCTCTTCGTTGAAGTATAATCTGACGCAGTAGGCTGGGCTTTCATGTTCTCATTAAATCAATTGACTTATATTCCAAATTGATATCCTTTTCGTACAAATAGATCTACATAGACCCATATCATCTTGGAAATATTTATAGTGCAGCAGTTGAGTTAGAATTTTCCAATGAATTTTGATAAAGGCACCAAATTTGGCACACAGGTAGACCAATATGATATTATCTGTCATCAGCAGTTAGTTCGCTGCTGAAGTTTCGTGAATGTTTAGAATGAAATCATGCCTTTTATAGGTTCTGTCCGGGTGTCCATGTAGTGTGAAGGAGCTCTATGACTTCATTGCATTAAGAAATAGAGAAAATCTTTTCGGAGATTTTTTTTATCTCTACAAGATGTTTTTTAAACGCGGGGCCACAAGAGTAATGATTCTTTTAAATAGTGTACCTTGCATTCATCACATGTCTCAATGTATGGTTATCTTGCCTACACAACTCATATATCTGCAATGAGGGCTAATATTTTCAATCTCACCAGTTGGCGCTACTAAAACATGAGGTCAATGTCAAAAATCCCAAAATGGCTATATATGGCCTGATTTATCGAAAATATTCGAAAAAAAAAAGTAGAATATTTGAATGGATAGATACGTTTTTTTACTCTCAAAATGACATGAAAATAAGAAGTATATTTATCAGTCCTACCAACCCTACCTCATGCTTCGGTGGAGCGGTTTGGTGGACAATAAATAAAACTTGCCTTCATTCGTTTGCGGCGTTGTTGAGTTAATTAGCATTATTTCGAAAAAATCCTCAAATGTTGAAGCCAACGTGCCTGTTTTCAAAATCTCCATCCTAAATTATGCCTGAACTTCTTTGATTTTTCGACTATCGCTTCAATGAAGTCATAATTGAAAGTTATCTCGCATGGTGATATATAATGAACTGTGCAGACTATAAAAAATTGCAAGTGAAAGAAGGCCGGGTCTCGAATGCACACGGGGAGTGCTCTGAGAACTGATAGTGTACTAGAACTGTACCCACAACAAAATTTCGAGCCCGGCGTTTTAAAGAACCCTGTAGAGATAGAATAGTTTTGCTTCAAAGACCTACCCATATTGTAACTAGAAAGATTTTCTCTATCTCGTATTGAAATGGAGCCATAGAAATTTTCCACCACATAGTGTACTAGAACTGTACAACAAATTTTCGAAATTTTCTTTTAATTTTTAATGAAAGTTCATTTGAATTCCATTGATCTTTTTGAATCAATGAAAATATCATCTACCTTGTAACCCCTGTAGAGATCTGAATAATTTTGCTTCAAAGACCTTCCAATACTTTTTTTGTTACAGAATAAATTTTCCACCAATGCGTGGACATGCGGTATATATCTCATGAAAAGACGTAATTCAATTCAAAACATTCAATGAACATTCACGAACCTTCAGCAGCAAACTTTACCCGACATCTGATGTCTTTCGTGCGGCCATTTTGAAAAATGGCCAGCATCCAAATAATTATGTTCATATTATATTGGTCTACCTCTGTGCCTTTATCAAAAAGTGCACAATAGTTTAGCTACTCTCCTGTACTATTACAGATTCCATACGGAAATATGCTAATTCGTATACATGAAATGTTTCTGTTACCGTCTCGAAATTTCGTTACTGAAAAAAAATATTTTTCCTGATTGAATGAATTATAAAATTAGTCTAAGTTGGTAGGTTTTTGGGTTTTTGCAATCACCGCTAGAAATAACCATGCATTCACCTAATTTGAGATAATGCTTAAATACATTATTTTTGACAGGTTGCTTGGGAGAAGGTCAGTTTTTGTATGTTGTTTTTGAAGTGTTCGTACTAGTTTTCCTGTTGCATTTGGCAAAATAATGTCAATAATATTGAAATACATAATGATTGACTCATCGATTGTTGGTAAACATGCATTATGTATAAACAATGTTTTATATATCATTTATTTTATCCCTTCTATCAAAAGAATATAGCAAGAAGTATTATTTCAATTATATCTCAAAAATTAGATTTTGTTCTATTCATTTGAAAACATCCGCAAGTTTCACAGCTAATCATCACATTTTTTTTATATAATTCAATATTCTGTTATATCTACAGATTAGATGGTAAAACATAAGTCATTCTGTATACTTGGATAAATTCCCCTTTCGTATTCATTTATTTTTCGTGGTCTTTCTTTGTTTTGTTGCAATAAAATTATTCATTTTATCATCTTCATGAAAAAAGTGACAAACATACTCTGCCACATTCATACTACCAAATTCGACTTTTTCTTATCAAACACTTTTTGAGTTTCACACGTTTTACACAATAATTATTTCATATTATCTAGATGCTACCTCAGTTCAAACCAAGTTTGTTTGTTCAGAATAAATCAAATAATTATACAACTACTGATAACGAGTAAATAGATCATTTGATTGCATCATCATCAAATCTATTGCTACAGTCAGGGCAGCAATTGCGAAACGAGTGAATAGAGCAATTGCATTGACGACGGCACAAAGATTCTCACTTGCACCTCTAGTGACGAAATTTGCATGAACGTATTAATCAATAATATAGATAACACTGGGTGCCAGGTGGAAGCATAAAGTATGAAGCACATGATTATCCATAAGGATTTGGTGGTATAATGCACTTATATTATGCGCAAATATAGTAATCATCACGGACATGCGTTATCGTAGACAATAGCGCTTACCAGCTTCTGAATAGGAGGAGTATGTGTTTTACCGTTTCACAACGTCATGACATTCTGTTGTTTTTGTTTACGTTTCGCGGACATGTTTAGTAGCAGAGGTTTGATGGATATTATGAATTTTCAGGGTATATTTTGAATCTAAATTACATCGCTGTCTGAAATTCTTGGAAATTACACTTACACTGCATATATTCAACATGAAATAGTCATCGTATCCCATTTGAAAATGTGGTTATACTGCAGTAGTTGGTGTGGAATACATTGAATGTTTACATATGGATAATTCTTTATGATATACTATCATAATGAAAAGCGGTAAAACTGCACTTATCAAGCGATGGTTTTTTTTTCAAAAAATTTTTTTGGTGCTTACTTTTTTTTACCTGAATAACACGAATTTGATAAGGAAAATGTGAACAAACCATAATTCATTGTGTGCTAGCTAACAGTAATCTACTGATACGATACCATCTGATAACCATTCTTTTGACTAGAATTTACGAACAAATACACTCTTATTGCAGCATATTCATTCAATGAATTCGTCTTGGTCAAGCGATAAAATGAACAACTACTTTATAGTATACAGGAAAGAGAAAACTGAAATAGGATATCATTAGTCATGTCAAAGATTAATAGGTTAGATGCACAGTGTATATTTATGTATATGCTTATGGATAGTCATTTGTCAAGAAACGGCTTCCTTTCGCGCGATGGAAACATAGAGATTATCCATTTTGTTCATTAATACGTATATGGAAATTTGAGGCAGCCTAAGAACGATGCTTGCCAGCTGTCATCCGGGAAATGTCATATTTCGCGTGATGTCACTTTCTGCTATTGAACCTCAATTCATGACACTAATATCACAGGAACAGCCTCCAAAAGTGTGATTGCAGAGGCACGTGTGTAATATACATTTTCCCCTTAGGTACATGTAACTATTTACGAGAGCTCCATTATCACCGGACATGTTTTCGAGAACATGTATTCTCTAAATATTCGTGTTCGAGAAAAAAAGCCAGAGCGGTATTCGGTAACAAGATTCCACACCGAAATAGTATCAAAAAATACTAGGATAATATTACGCTGAATAATATAAAAAATGCCGTCTTAAGTTAGGCAAAACATTAATAAAGCAGCTGGTGGCACTTCCAACCATTATTCTTGACCAACTTTATTTCACTAAAGTGGGTGGAAACATATTTTGTTACAAGGCACTCGAAGCAGTATGTACTATTAATAAAATATACATCCATAACGTTGTTAGGTTTGATAAAACTTACTTTAGTTGCACAAAATAATAAAAAATAAGTCGATAGTAGCTCAATTTCTCAGTTTTTCATAAATTCATTTCGCCAAAGAAACTCGAAGTAGTATTTAGTATCAATGAAATTTGCTAACGTGAAATTATAAGGATAAAATATAATTAAACGACTTAGTAGTTGAATAAAATAATGAAAAATAAGTTCATAGTAGCTCAATCTGTCAGTTTCTTACAAATTTATTTAGCTAAAAACATTTAATTTAAAGGTGCAATTAAAATAATTCTTGAATCTGTGTTTTGCTTGGTAAAAATAAAATATTACCTCATGAACACAAACGCTCTAGGTTCAAGTCGTTTAAAGAAAGGAGTGAATCAAATTATTCCAATTTTTGAAATGTCAAATTTCACCTGAAGTTCTGCTCCAATTTACCTAATATTAATCATTAAATACTCAAGAGCAATATATACACATATCAAAATATTTTTACGAGTATGAACAATTGAACAAGTTGGACGATGTCACTAAAACAACAGAATACGGAAAATCAAAATACACACACATACACAAAGTGGAAACAATGTTCGTGAATACGCGTACCATGTTGTGACGTCAGGTGCAATTGCTCTATTTGAAATTTCATTCCATAGGCAGAAATCAGAGCCTGTAATCTGATAGCCGAGTATCCATTTATTGTAACAATTTCAGCAAATTCCCGTTTTTTCACTGTAGTATCCCAAAATAAATATGGAAATCCTGAAAATATAAATATCAAATTGATAATTCATAGAATTAGAATTAGATTTTTTTTATTGTTCATAAATATTTAGTGCTAACATTATTTGTTGTCCACCACATCGCACCACTGGAACGTGAGGTCAGATTTGGAAGAACTGTTAAATATAATTCTTTTTCCTACGGCTATAACACAAAACATCAATGAGGTACTTTGTATGTCATCAATTTTATTTCCGTATCTGATATCACGATGACTCCATTGTGTTATTATTTCAAAAAAATCTCATCGCCCAATGGAATGTCAAATCTCAAGCAATGACAGCTCTGTCTAATAGATGAGCATTACTTGAGAGGAATTCAGAAATCAAAAATGTGGCTACCATCTGTCACAGCTGTAGAAAAATTATAGTGTATAACTAGCACGGAATGCTAATTTCCCACTCGAATGATTGCAGCATTCGCCTATGACTCATGCTGCAAACTTTATTCTCGTGGAAAATCACCATCATTCCGTGCTCGTTGAACAATATACTATTTTTCATACCATTTGGCCTCTTCCTACGATATCTTCTTCTCTGTCAGTGTAGGAATTGGTCGTAAAGTCTCTGTCAGTGTAGGAATTGGTCGTAAAGTTCCACATTGGGAGTAAAAAAACGTAAGTCAAGTCTTTCCATAACTTGAGGTTTTCTATTTGTTCAAATATTCTACATAATTTTCCTCATATACTTTCGATGAAACAGGCCACAGCCTTTAGGGCTATCCAGCAAAATTTTGGAATTTTCGACTTTGACATTGACCTCCCGCTCGAGTAGTGCCAACTGGTGTGACTAAAAATGTTGGCTGTTGGCCCTCATTCACTATTCATATAACAATGATTTCTGTGTTCTGTACCTGACTGATAACACTAGTAAAACAGGAAGAAAAAAAATTGACAAATACTTTATAAATTTCACTCATGTCACTTTTCTCGTGGTGTATCATATTATTCAAGACGGAATATATTGCCATTTGGAACAAACAGGATGAATTGAAAGAGGACATGGCTTTTATGCGAATTTTTTCAAGTTATGTTCCCTTCAGAATAATTATGTCCCAATCACTTCATCTCTCATTCTGAATATTCAATTAATTATAATGTATGCATTCATCTAAGCCATCCGTGTTGTTGTTGCTTAATATTTTTGTCAGTTTCTCATGGTTTACATTGCATCCAGGCTGTAGAAATAAATACTAGAAGGCTATTCAGCGAGAACAATATTGGCGGGCACAATTACTTAAGTAATATGGTACATTTGCCGTTTTACTTACAAAACTCCGGATTGAGAAAGGTGAAGGTTGCGCAACAATCTGCCATGGCGCATTGGAAACAAAAAGGGAATTGGACGGAGAATGAAGAGAATCTCAACAGTTTCTTGGCAAGATCGGTAAGTGAAAGATAGGATTTCTAGAAGATAAAATAAGATAATATCACTCATTTTTTGCCAATGATGTAATAATACCAAACTCCTTATTCAACCTTTTCGAGATTGTCTTCAAAATACGTCCCCTTTTTTAACTATTTTGAGTTGCAGGCCCCTTTTCAAACCGCCCAACTTAACCCCCCCTCCCCCGCTCTTCTAGTATATGAATTATTTATTCAAACGAAAGTATAAAAAAATTGAAATATCAAAGAAAGCAATATGTTAACATAGGAAATAAAATCCGTTCCTCTTGAAGTTGAGAAACTGATCATTGCAAACTACTGAATCAGAGTAAGTAATGGATTCATATATCATTTTCAGTCATCAAGTAGAAGATTATCCAACGAGAAAGCTTTGATGTCTAGTCAAGAGAACCTAGGCAAATTCCAGAGTAGAAAAGGATCTCGGAAATTGAAATTATCCGAGTCTGTAGCAAGCTCAATAGGATCAAATTTGAATAGGATAGGTGGTGCTCAAGATTTAACCAAAATGTTACTATCAGATGATTATTTTAGTGATGTTAACCCTCGTTCAATGAGAAGACTGATGAATGTTGTGTACGTTACAGGTGGGTCATTATACATACATTCATAGATACATTCATATATATTTGAATATGTAAAGGGTTATCGATATACAGTGTCTGCGATTTCAACCCGCAACAACAACCTAATTTGGAAGCCGTCGACCGATTTTCAAAAACAAAAATGTCATAACATAGTACCCAACGAACTCTATTCGAAAATGTGAACAAATCTGAAATATTCAAATTTTCATTTTTGAATGGGTTAAAATTTCAGAAACCACTATTAGGCAATTTTTTCTCGAAACAATGACTCCCAATCGATTCAGGTATAGCTCAAATGCCCCCATACGAAATTTGAACCCAAAATCTCATATAGGGTGTTAGTTATTTAATAGCAAATTTTGATATTTTTCGATTCACCCTGTGTCAAAATCTAAGAAATCGATATAACTGGTGAAGTAATCATTCAATGGAGAAACACATCGAATACTTGGATACGAAGTTCCATCGTTGTTACTTTTACAGGAAGATCTCTCTAGGCCAATCAAAAATCAATGAAATTGAAGTTGAGGTTCAACATTTTGAAAACTCAAGTAAACCGTTTTTAACATATATCTACTACTCATATATGAAGCATAGCTGTCCTCAAAGCGGGTCCAACTTCTGCCTCTATAGGTAACGAAATCGACCAATAGGCGTCGATGCCGCGTAGGGAAAAATAATACGAAACTTGCCAAACCAATATGGCTGTTTCCATCCTTCACTTTCCTTCCTTATAGATTCAAAAAGTACCTCTCATTTTGGTCCCATTTTTGTTGAGATCGTATAGGCGATATATAGAAATAGTAAATATATGGTTTTTCACATACTGCACCACATAGTAACTTTGAAATCGTAACGATTGATGATAACTGTCGAATATGGCTTTATTCCGAATTCAACTGGTCAGTACTGTCAGTAGATCCACTAACTCTGCTGAAAAGCTGATGAAATTTGTCAGTTGTCATTGATCTGACAGATGCTCCTGCTTGATCTGAATAAATAACAGGCATTTTCTGATATCAAAATGATATTATTAATGTATTATTGATAAGCCAAGACTTAATGTTTGAAAAACAACGGGAATGAATGTGTCTTTCCTTCCCCCTCAAAAATAATGACAGTTCACTGAAGCAACACTACCTTTTGATAGTCAGCAATTTCAGCAGAATGTTGAGTCGAAATATTTGGAATGAATAGTATATCTGCTCACGAGTATCTGTCACTTTCAGTCAATTTTTTTGATTTCGGAATGAAAATTCAGCAGATTCAGTACTGTCAGTTGAATTCGGAATATAACCTCAAACACAAATAGAATGACAGACAAACACTCTCCAAAGACTGCAAGGAGATTTACTGATACTTAATGTGGTCATAATATACCGATTTCGGCGAAATGGAAGGGACATTTGAGATGACAATGGAAATTGTTATGAATAGACAATATTTCCTCGAATTAGTTACTATTATTTTTATCACCAGGAAACAGAAGATATGGATCATAATAAAAAATTTGTCAACTTCAATTTCATTACTTTTTGGTTGACCAAGAGATATCTTCTTGTAGAAGTCACAACGATGAAACTTCGTATCTGAGTACCCGATTTGTTCCTCCATTGAATGACTACTTCACCGGTTATGTCAACTCCTTAGATTTTGATACAGGGTGAATCAAAAAATAAATAATATCAAATTTTGCCACTGAATAACTAACATCTTATATGAGATTGTGCGTTAAAATTTTGTATGGGGTTTTTCAGCTATGCCTGAATCAAACAGACAGTTTCGATGAAAAATTGCTAATAGTCGTTTTTGAAATTTTGAGCCCTTCAACAAACAAAAATAGGCCTTGAAAATCTGAACGTTTCAAATTTGTAAATCAATCGACTGGTTCCGAATTGAAAAGGTGTTGAACTGGAATAAATTTGTTAGCGGGGAGGTGAATATATTTTCTAAAAATTCCTGACATACCTCAACGATTTAATGTATTCACCTACCTTTTGCAAGCAATATCTAGAATATATCCCTCCGTGAGTTTTTTCAAATGTAACCCTACGGCTTGTGACCCCCCATTGGAAAGCTGGTAGAGAGAGGAATCCAGCGTACTAGTCAAATTTTAGTTTTTCATACCTTTAAAGGATTCTTAAATTCGAATTTTATTTTTTTTTTCTTCAATGAGCGATTGAAAGCTCAAAATGTGTGTTGAACAATTGATGGCAGTTTTTTGTCACAACTGCTATCTGTTATTATATTTCAGTGTTTTCATAGAGCCGCAAAAAGAAATTTAGTTTTTATGTCGTATACACAGTATGAAACGAAGTGTTATTGCAAACTGGTGGAAATGCACTGTATCACTGTCACTAAAAGTCGAGATTTTGATGAAAAAACGTTGAAAATATATTAAACTTCAGAATTATATTTTGTTATTATGCGACCCCCAAATGTACTGCAAACTGAAATTGGATCAGTGCGCTGGATTCCTCTTTCAACTAGAGTTATCTAACTAATACCATCCAGTGACTCTACTTTCAACCAGTTTTCCAATGAGGGGTCAAGCGAAAAAACAAGTTGGTGTTCATTCCAGCTACCCCTGAAGGGTTATATTCCCCATAATGCTCGCCAAATGTAGGTAAATACATTGAAACGTTGACGTGTTTTGCGAATTTATTCCAGTTAAATTCTCCACCCGGTATTATTTTCACGTTATTTTTCAACAATAATGCGAAATTTGAATGCCGTAATGAGCTCTTTTCACTCCCCTTATCAGTAGTTTTACTTTGTGATCTCCATAAGTACGACAAACCACACTTTTATTTTGTTAAATGGAACACGCTCTTTTTGATATTTTTCTTGAAATCTGTGATTTATGAGGAAAGTTTATTTACTGTTTTTTTCTCTTCTCAGGCCGATTACTTAAAGCATTCCAAATCGATTTCAATTGGTATCGCTTAGCCTCTTGGATAAATATAACAGAACAATGGCCTTTTCGAACGTCATGGATAATTTATCATTATGATTTATTCGAAGAATCATTGGATGATAACACTTCTCTTAAATCTATTTATGATAAGTAAGTATGATAATTTGTTCTTTCATTCATTCTCATTAGACAGATTAAATAGTTTTCCGACCATTAATATTTCCAAATCTCACTAAAATCTGTGATAATTCAATGGGTGTCGTGCCGTTTTGAAAAAAACTAATAAAAATAGATGTACTATAAAATAATGATTGCAGCATCACCTATAACCGCTAGAAAAATGCTTAATGCCCTAATGCTTAGTTAATATACTTCATAGTATCCATTTTCATGTATCAAATTCTTTTTTCCAGGATTCGGCCAAATATACCAATCGTGAAAGATATTGAACCACTCCTAGAATTAGATAGAGATGAGAAGAAGTTCGATATTTTTCTTAGTTTTCACCGTTCAAGTTTGTTGGTGAGCGATCTCAAGATATTTCTACCATTTACAATAAACCTGGATCCTTATTTGAAGAAAGTTATCAAAGGTAAGTTATTCTGATTTCGTAAACTCTTGTGCAAATAAACTGCTCAACACCCGAAATGTGAAATGAAAATTTTTCGTTCAATTTCGATTCATCATAACTGTGTCAACCAATTCCCAATTTATTTTCAGATTCTGATAGTTCGTTTCATTGATCAAACCTATGGAAATGATTATTACATAATGTGATGCTCTAATTCTGTTAGCTGTGTGTTCTTGTCAATCTGTATCATAATTTCCCTTCCAACCAGGGGCCCGATTCTCGAATCTGTAGGAATTCGATCCTATAAAAGAATGGCTTTTAGTTCTCTTAGGAAATGATAATTTGTCATGACACCTATTCTTGAACCAGATGGAATCGATTTTCCCAGGGGATTGAAAAAATGCCGTATGTTGCAGATAGATTCTTGAACTGACATGAATTTACCAATGAAAAGAGTGGAATTTATGTTGGTAATTGGTGGATGATTGGAATGAAATGTTGACATTTTGATTTTGACAGATTTTAAGGTTATAATATACTATAATTTTGCGACTGTGAGATTATTGTGTATTGTATATTTACTATATTTCCTCTGATCGAAATGGATATGAATACATACAATATCAAAAAACTACGAGGTGGTAGTATTAGCAAAGAGTAGATAAGACTTTTAATAGAAGGCCTCTGAGGATTTGAGGAAAGGAGAATTCAACCCCCAATTCACTTACAAGGATTGTAAAGTACCTATCGATTTTCTAGTAATGTCTTTGGACAAACGAAAAACTTGAATAAATTGTGCAGCAGACAAACACTCAAATGGTCCTTTCTACGCAGTAACCTTCTTCTTAGTCTTCTAGCAAGGATTTCAGCCACTTCCAAATTTTGTAAAGCCTCTAGATGATCTATTTCATCTATGTTTGCCATGTTTTGCAATACATATGTTTTTCAGATTTTTCACTAGGTTTCAGTTTCCATCACAAATGAGAATAACTTCGTATTTCATGAGTGTATCCTATGGGAAACATGTTGTCCCCATGACTATTACCATGGAAAGCAGTTCAAGAATACATCATCTCAAATTTCCATGGGAAATATCGAGTTTTCTAATGGGAACGAATTCCAACGGATTCAAGAATCGGGCCCCGGAAGGCCTTCGAAATTTTTGGCGAGTGGACTGATATTGAATTATTGGCATACAATTACTCCACTGTGTCGTTAGGGTCCTAAATTATTTTTGCAACTCTTCTCACGCTTTTTTTTCTGTAAATAATGTATCTCTATGCGTAGGTCGAAATTGTTGAATTTCAGAGATCATTTCAAACGTACCATCGTGGCCGCCACGCGGCGATACGTCGAATGAATGATTACTTCAGTTTTCATGCTGTTTCGTTATTGGTCAGATAATCTTCCATTCCCACTCATGAAGCAAGGTTGCAAAGTCACCAATTATAATAAAGTTATCAAAAAAATGTTGGAGTCCTGTCGTTGAATAAAACATAATACGAGGAACCCATGATATTGTAGTTCATTCTTGACTTTTTTTGAGCATGTCCAAATATGTCTTATTCTCCAACAAAATATCATGTCAATGTTGGAGACTTCGCAACATTGTGCTGAATGCTGAGAACTGACAAGACCACGCCCACAAGTCGTGCGCCGTGTTGTCACGTTCACCGATTCAAATGTCCTCTAGTGTGAATTAATCTAATCATTATTTACACACATTCATTATGAGCAATAAGCCACAATTGCATTTTTATTGGTAATTAGGAATATCACCAATAGTCAATTAAGAAGTTATGAATTATTGAATAACCAATATTTCTGAAGTTCCCAATCGTATTTCAAAACATGGCATCTGTGCTATGGTCTGCCCCTATTTACGAAATCGTGGCGTCAGTTTTTACTAGCGGTAAATGTCTAACCGTTTGAAAATCACCGTGGCATTATTGATGATTTTAGCACCTAAAAATCGACCGAAAAATTCTTCAAAAATATGAAATTCAAAGGTCCACTCGCCTATTATCATCCTGCAGAATATCATCCTGAAGAGATGCATTCGAATAGGATCGATTGTCAATGGAATGAAAATTCAGAAATGGAAAATCGGTGGTGGAAAGTTATTATTATGAATCAAAATTGATCGAAAAATTTCGATTTGATGTTTCAAAGTGTTCAGCAGTTTATTACATTTCGAATAGCAATAAAAAATCGAATAATAGCCATAACTTGATTTCCATGTTTGTAGAAGAAACTCAGTGCGTAGAAGACGGTTATCAGAACAGCAATACGAGAAATTCAAATTCCATGCCACAAGGCATCCAGTCTATGAACAACTGGAGCAATAATATGGATTGGAATACTCCCAGATCGACAACTGTTACTAGACGGTATCGTTCAATGCCCAAATCGGGCAGCTCAAATCAAAACGAACCATCGTCACATGTGATCTATCCACAAGTGACAACCACGTTGTCAGGCTGGCAACAGTGGGGGGGAGTGCAATATCAGCCACATGTTCCTATGGCACCAGTCACCATGCTGGAGGTATTGATAATAATTTTAATGATATAAAAATTATAGTTATTTATATAGCAAGGTAGTAAATAATATCATTATCGCCCAGTGACCAACATTATATCTGAAGCTGAATCCTTGGGATATAATCTTGGTGCCTGGGTAATGGTAAGACTTATATTCTTTACTACCTTGGTGTATGCATTACTATTATTTTTAGATTGGTAGATAGATTGATAGATAGATTTATTATTCCATCAAATTTACATTTTTGGAAACGTCATAAAGTTTGTGTAACAAACTAATAGATGCAATATACAGGGTGTTTAATTACTAATTGGAAATATTCCAATTATAGAATTCTGAGCTCAGAACAAGAAGATTCAACCGAAATCACCTCTCTGTTTCAGGAAAAGATAATATTATGTTTTTGCTCGTTTATGAGGGTTTGAGTTTAATTTGCGTAATGAATGCAATCCAATGACCAATTAATACACATTCAAATCGAAGTAATTGTGCATCTTCATGTTTAACTCAAAATATTTACAAAATCATCTCGAAAAATAATGACTTTATAGCTAGGAAGAAAGAGTACGTTATTTACGTAGAAAGTATTGCACAATCGAAAAATAGTGACAAAATTGCAATTCCGCCTGTGGACTACTTGCCCCTGTTACACGCCTCTGGTAGTAGCCAGAAACGTCAGTTGGTATAATATACTTTCCATCAAATATGGCAATAATACGTCTAAAAGTTTGTGCATAAATAATTTTCAAATTCTTAAATAAAACACCTTGTAACTCAGACAGAAGGTGATTTGGGTTAAATCTTCATATTTTGAGCTCAGTATTCTATTCGCGGTTGTCAAGGTTATTAGATGAATCTTGGGCATAGATTGGAAGTTGGACATGTATTTCCTTAGTTTTTAATGTCACCGCAACGTCATTTAATGGATCTTGACGACCGCGAATAGTTGAAATATTTCCAATTAGTAATTAATCACCCTGTATATAAAAATAAACCTAATTAACATGAAAGTAAGTCCACAGAAACGACTTACTCGACTATTTATTCTTTATAGTAATTTATGGTTAATGATTGTTCATCTCAAAATTTAACTATTTTATTCACTTCTTGGTTGTACACACTAGTCGAATCTACTCCACTAACCTATTTCATATCGATCATTCCGTGTATAAATATCATTTGATGCAATCATTCGTTACTTAAAATCACCGCAAATATATATTTTTTTAATGAAATTCGGTTCCCTCGATGTACCTTCGATGACGTCATGAACCGAACCGAAAGTCATCGTTAACTGAATTTTGGCGCATGAAAAGTAGGACCACATATTTCGACGCTGCCAGATTTGTAACTAGTAATTACCTTATGAGATTCAATATGACCGATGACAACAGTATTCACATTCACAGAAGACAATAGTTCGACCTGGTCCCTGATAATTACTTATTGAGTATTATTGGTGGTTAATCAGAATATTTATATACTTGCCCGATGCTTCAGTACCAATCACTGGCAGCAGCGTAATGTCTAGAGTTCCCAGAAATACAAGAAGAGAAGAAGAAAAAGACGAACTACATTGTCAACCTAAGTTCCTTACGTCACCTTCATTTTCAAATCCTTGTTTTATTTAGTCAAGATGCGAATTTTCAAAGATCCCTCTCTTATTATCTGATTCTTCAGTTGTTTGTTATGTTTTCTGTTATCTGCAGTGAGTATTCAGTCCAGAAAATTCACTAGAGTCTAGGGCGAGCACCTGAGGAGGCGAACTTTCTTCATATTTTTATTGAAATGACAATCCGAAATATTCTTGCCTCTGTCTTACAGACGAGGAAAATAGACACGTACCTAGAGTTTTTTTCCGATTATTACTTCACGCGTTTTCCGCGTTTTTCATGTTACGAAATATCGTGAATTTCAATCATTATTTAAAAAATTTACAGAGCTCTGCGGAAAAAACGGCGTGCGACAGTGTCCTAGTTAGGGTTAGTACCTACTTCGAAATAATATAATAACATTTTTCTCTGAAACAGGCCCACTATTTTTTTTTGCCCCTCACTACAATATATAGATTTGTCATTTTTATTCACCTTGGTTCGTGTTGGTTCATAATGGAGATGACAGCTATGAATTTCAATATTGAAAAGGAGTTTCCAAATCGGCATTGTTCATGAAAAAAATAGCCAGTATTATCGTATTATCTTTTCGATAATTTTTATTATAATGTTGCTATTGCATCAATCTTTGAATGATTCATGTGCTGCTTTTGAATATAGGACCCTTGATTTAGCTGGTTATAGGTTGATGGGTCAAATCAGCTGCGACTTGTTGATTATACTGTTTTCACGTGAATAAGTGAATGCTAATTGGATCAATGAATACTATTATAATTTGAACATATATTCCACATTATTTCTCACAGTAAGTTAATTAGGTTCAGTAATAAGTAGGCCAATAGCAAGGATATTCTTTACTTTGTAATAAAGGGCTATGTGGGCTATTATGTTAAAATTAGGGGGATATGGTTATTGATGTTATTATATTTTTTTCAGCCAGAAATATTTGACATAAAACTATCGACTCTCAACGTTGAAGGGGTCTGTACTCTTTTATCCAATATCGACGATTTGACTCTGGATGCTTTGGCCGAATACATAAAAAAAATCAAAGAACAGAATATAAATGGGCGGGTGCTTCTACACTGTGATTTGGAGGAATTGAAAAAAGTAAGAAATGTTGTTTACTAACAGTTGCAAGGACATTACTTTCGATTTTAGTATCAAACATATAATCGTTCCAAAATTTTCAAATTTCGGTATAATTCGTATTATTCCATTTAGAGCCGATTTATTAATCACGAGTTAAAACTTGATCACTTCGAAGATTACTGATAACAGGACAATTGGCCTATAGCTGTTGGGCAGGCTTCTGTTTCCTGTTTTGGGGATTGGTTGGACTCTGGTTATTTTCCAACAAAATGGACTAACAACCAACTTGTACGAGATGGTGAATAACTTGAAGAGAATCGATGTCAATTCAAGTGCACACTTTTTGAGAATAATGGGTGGAAATCCATCAGGACCGTTAGCCGTTTTTGTTTTGAGACCGAGCAGAATACGGCTGATAGTGCGTTGACGAATTTATATTTCAAGCATTTGATTTTCAACTGCTGGAATATCTGGCGCCACTCTTCCCTGGGAATCTAAGGTGGAATTTACTGCGAACATATGTGCAAAACTGTTTGCTTCATCTTGCGATGTTGTTCCTAATGTGCCGTCGGCTTTGGAGAGTGGTGGGAATGAACTGAAATTCCTTCCGACTTCTTTAGCGAGTGACCATAACGAAAGAAAGCCATTGGAACAATCTATGAGTTTCTATTTTATCTTTTCGATGTATTTATTGTTGGGCTGCAGTTATTCCTGGCCTCAACATACCCTGATATAGTCAAGCTGTGGTTTTTGCGTCAGCAATTGAAAGTTAGTTGACTGACAACTAACATTGACTAACGGTCAAAGTCATTGTTAAGGCACTAACTGTTTATCCACCGTGTATTCATCTTCAAGCTAAATGATTGCCTGTTATGAGATTGTTGGTAGCCATGATTTTCAAAAGACCTGGTTTCATTGGTGGACTAATCCTCTCAGAGGTAACCTCTGCTTCGGCGTTTATGTCATTATCTATATTGTCAAGAAGGTTAGATGCTGAATTCAAACCACAAAAATTTTAAAATAGTGGAATTTGGAGAAAATGAATGCAGATTTTTGTTGGAAGTAGTGAAAAATTTTGAAAAGTCATATTGGGAATGAAAAAACTCAAAAAGAAATAATGCAGTGATTTGGAGACAAAAGAAAGCAACCTTGGAAGGCAAAATAGGACATCTGTTCACTTCTGTTAGAAACTCAAGAAGCTCTTCATTATATTAGCAGCTTATACATATATGATTCCTGTGACAATATAAAAATGGAACATTGTTCTAATTATGAATATTAGTATTGAATTAAACAATCTCACCCTATAATATGATCTGTATCTCCAACCTACTATCAATACTCTGGGTTTTTAACAACGAAAACTTCTCTAGAAAGCTCCATTATCGAAATCATAATGAGGTAAATTTTTCTTTATCTCAAGATATAAGGCCTTCTCTTTGTTAGTGTACCTGCATTCTCAGAAACGTGAGTGAGTTTCATTTGACTGCATTTCTAGTGAATATTGCCAGGCATTATACAGTGCTGCTAGAAAAACGCATGCAGTATGAGGAGATCCATTTGATATTATTTGTTTTTGATATTGTTTCATTTTTGTTGTGAAAACAAATGGAGTCCATGATTTTCCAGTTGTCCCGAAAAAGATATTTAGATTCAACTGATGAATAAATAGTGTAAATATGTTAATTCAATAAGGAGAATTTCATGAGAATGATTAAAAAATAGGACAAACAACAAAAACTATTTTTTCTACAAACGTCAAAAAATGACAAGGGTCGCGCATTGATGAAAAATTGCGAAGTGATACTTTTTTTCAGTCTCCTACGTTACCATGATACCTTGCACAAAACAATACGCGAAGTAAAACAGTGCGCGAAGTACCTACTTCGCGCATTGTGATGTAAAATATGAGAGATATTTGAATTCCAACTTTATGGTCCTCAATCGAGCAAACATCCACGAAATCATATATTTCTGAATGATCAACAATGACTTTGTTTTATCTCTCGGAGCGCACGAAAGGAAATTCCTACTATGTTCGTGGAAAATCGTGTGTACCTAGGGAGGATAAGGGGGATGCCTTTCAAGCCAGTTCAACACTATTTTTTATATCAAGCTAAGCATATTTTCACTTTGAAACCATATTTTTTGACGTTTGTAGAAAAAATTTTGTTTGCAACTCGAGCGCGAAATACTTTGGTCATCTCGACTATTTCTTTAACTCGGCTACGCCTCGTTGAAAAAAACAGATCTCGATCACCAAAGTAGCATTTAGCGCTCTAGATACAAAAATAACTATTTGATGAATTTTTTTTATATCGAAAATTTTTCATGATAATCACATATCTTCTAGGGTTGCAAAAACTTTCGATAAACCTGGAATTTTCTATATTAGTTCTGCACTTAAAACGATCCACTGCAAATAAACATTGAAACAATGGGAATTGACTTGTTAGCATGCGATTTATTTCTGGTAGTATGTCTAGTTATTGATACCTACTATTTTAATATAATTGGGATTACCTGGTTACATTTTCAGGATAATTGCTGTAAATAAGTACTTTCCAGCCTGAAAACCGGGCACCTCAAGAACTAATTTGTGTTTGCTATTCAGATAAGGTTTCATATGGGTTTATTGTGGCTCACACCTAGAGGTTATGGTTCACTATACAATCAATTTCTTTTCGCAATGTTCTTAGTTAGTGAAACCAAATGCCTTGAACCCTAATCTTCCTAAACACGAACATACATCGCTGTTTATTCCTACGCATGAAACTCAGATTCCTTTTTGGCCAAGATGTTTGATATATAAGTGACCACACAAATAATGTTGAACCATCGAATTAATGGAAAAAAAATTGGTCAAAACTTGTCAGTATCAGCTGGAATATAGCGAATAAAATGTATAGTAAAGGTGGTATTATTGATGAAGCACACCATGTTTTTTCCATCATTGTTATCTCTAGTGGTGTTTTCATGAACTCAATCATTGAAATTAACTTGAATTTCATGCAAAAACATAGTAGATTCAATGATAGAGTACTTCTTGAATTCACTGAAGCTAATAGTTTCTTGTTCTGCTTTTCATGAGTGAATATTTGACATTAGATTCAGAGGATTTGTACCTTAACTTGCACACAGCTAGAAGTTATTTCAATATCAAAAAATGTTTTATCTTCTGCAGTTACTCGGAATGTCTTTTGGTGATTGGGAGATGTTCAAAGTTCTGTTGATCAGTTTGAGGGAGAATGAAATAACCAGCATTTTGAGACAGGACGAAGTGAGACCAGTTAGAGAGAATAGGGTTTCCTCGAAACCTGAAAGAAGAAGTAAGTTTACCAATTGAATGGAAATGTTCAGCTTGTGGTGATATATCCCCCTTATCACTAACCAAAGCAATTATGTTTTCAGTTGAAATTATTATAGTAGTCTCAATCACAGTAGGTCACGTGAGAAAAATAGGGGTTATAAGGAGATGGAAGAATCAAGATATATCTAGAATAGAACCTTCTTTCATTGAATGTCGTTCTTTATATATACAGGGTTTAATTTGATTGATGGCTGAAAATGAATGGCACATGTTCATACCAACCTTTCTTCTTCAAATGAGCAATAAGTTATAATGCTCATCAGAAAATTCGGAATTTCAATGTAGATTATGAGTACTTTCTGAAAATGAAGACTTAACCTTTCTATAGGTAATTTTAATCCTTTGAGTTCGGAAAGTGGGATATACAAGTTTGGCAGGTCAATGTAAGTTTAGTGTATTGGACGAGTATTTCACTGTTTGCGAAACATGTCCTGTTTTTAATAATGTTTGTGGAAATCTTATCATTTGTGAAGTTTTTTACATCTACTATGGATTTCCATCAAGTGACTGCCGAGTATATTAATAAAACTATAAATATAAATTATTCGAGAACTGCTTGGTGAAATTTCTTCATTTCTAATCGTATGTTGATATAAATGTGTGAAATACTGTGAAGAACTGACTGCTACACCGTAAAAATAGCTTTTGAAGGAAGGTTTTTAGGTTTGACTGGTATTATGTAAACAGGTTTATTTATGGGCTATATTCGATTTCTCTACAGCCTACATTATAAGGATTTTCTCTCCTTCTCTAAATGAATAAAGTAATATTTCAATACACCTACAATAGTTATCTATCAACTACGAAATAGCCACCATGCTCACAGTGGAATGAAATGTTAAATAAATGCAAAAAGCTCAAAGTCAAACACAGTGTTCATAAAATGTTGTTGTTGTTCATTTTATGAACACTGTGTGGAAATGACTTTGAGCTTTTTGCATTTATTTATAGTTATTTATGTAACAAGTGCATGAGGTGGTACTTTTTTGCGAGTAGGAAATGTTGACGCCAAAGGTGGACTGTTACTTGTTAATTTCATGTATCTATTTTCTTATAGGTAGTGTAAACAAGGGTAGTGGAACAAGTGAAAAAGATGTTGGAAAGATGCAAATTGATGGTCCTCAGAGAAAGCAAAGTATTATTGAGAAACAGGTGAGTTATTATTCAATGTTGTTTCATAAATAAAAAGGAAAAACATTCAATAAGATGTCATTTAAATCTTTGAAGGTGAAATGATTGAAAACAAAATCATTCAAATTGAAATAATCTAATACTGAAAACTTGCATGCTTGCCTAGTATCAGGTATGTACTCATAACAACATAATTCGTTCAATATTAACAAAAAGTGGGAATGTGTTGAAATTTATGTGCATGGAAGTAGCCTGCTGGAATTGTTATCCAAGGTATTTGAATATAGTTATTGTTACTGAAGTTGCAACTCAGTGAATAGAGTAGTAATTTTGCATTTATTAATTATCATTGTTCTCCCAATCTATGGAACGATTCCTAGTTGCTTCATTCTGCTTCATTTAATATCAACTGGATAATAATTCCTTGGTACATGTAAAATCTACGTGCATAAGGCATTGGCTTTAATTCACACCCCTACCTTGTAGTTGGGTACAGGGCGCAGAGTCACAATGGGTGTTTCCCGAATGCTCGTACAAATCGGCTGGTGGTAGGCACGTAGTTTGGATATATCAGATTAGGAACTCATAAAAGGCAATTGGGAAATTTTTTTCGGATTTGATTTTCTCGAATAAGATTACGATTACTTAGTTGAATATTTTTGCCTACGGCCACTATAGAAAGTAGGCAAGAACACACGAGATACAGCCTCAGTAAGTAGCTCCTTACGCACAGTAAACATAACGAACAGTTTTCGTTTATTCCGCCAGTCATGATCGCGTAATCGCCGTCAACAGCGGATGACATAACTGTCAAGAATTATAATTCAGACTGTTTGTCCAAACTTTTTTGGTGTAATATATGGCAGTAGGTGAAGTATTCGCGGGAATCAATGTTACCAGGTGGCTTTCAGTTTTCATCGTTCCATGTCAAAGCTACGTCAAAACTGGGGGAAAACAAACTCAATCCTCACTCAATCCCATTAGTGCCATTAGCTTGTGTACTGTGTACTGATAAGAGTGATAAGCTTTTAAATTTCTTACAATAATTGGCAGATATTTTGCTGTTCTTTTATATGTCAATTGATTTGCTCGTCATAATTAGTTTGAATTGTTTGAACTATCTTCAATTCTTCACCCGTTCACTGTTCACTTAACTAATAAAAATGTAATAATGTAAAAAAATTAACCAACTCAACCATCATCACTACCAACAGTGCCAACACTTTATGTCATTGACAAGTTTGACTACAGCTACTGCAAGCTGAATGCAATGTAGTCTATGCACTTCATCCATAGACAATAGTTTGTTTTCCCCCAGTTTGAAGTTCGTATTATGTAACCTAGATGTCGCCCACTTCGTTAATCTCGCGAATAGTACGTAATGCGTGTTGTAAAGCAATTACGCACTCATTGAATTACGCACTAGCTGCTCTGCGGCTACGTGCGTAATATGCTTCTTACAACATATATTACATAATATACTATTACTATCTAGAATGACCATTGAAATTCAAATCATCAACATTTTCGAATATATCAATACATAACTCTTCTTGCCTTAAACTATGATTTAGAACTTATATATGATGAATATGGAGTGAATATTGTATAGCTATGAGTGCTATGAATAATAATGGTGAAGCCTATGAACAGGAAAGGGTGGGTGTAAGTTTGGCTCGAAGAATAATACGTTGATGTCTGATTATTCGTGAAAGAAATGACGAACCGTTATAGTGCCAGTAACTTCATTTGGACCCATCATAATAACTATGCTATTGCAATATTTAGATTATGTTCATTTTCAGCTATTATTATTTTTCATTTTCTCTTGGAGCGCACGACAGGAAATCCTGATGATGTTGAAACATCCTGCATACCTAGGTAGAATAGGGAGAGGAGGTAGGTATTGTAATTTTTTCGAACTTTCAATTGGAGATTATAAGTTCTTGGGAATACTTCCTTTGGAGAATGATTCCAAAGCTTTGCTGTTCCATAGACAAACGAGTTTTGGTAAAGTGTTGTTTTGACACATAATTTGCTAGCTATGTCTGCATCTATTGGAAAAGATTGTACAGTTTCAATCTTATACATAACATTGAAAATCGACGTCATCTAAATCAATATTATATAAAATGTCTCTTCGAATCTGGCCAAGAATGTTTCATGGTACCTTAGGTTTGCACGATGTTTCAAGAACATAATAGTGATTCCATTTTGTGCGATCTATTGAAACAAACAAAAAACACATTCAAATGGAATATATGATATTTCTCCAAATCAGAAAGTGTAGTTGTTGATTGTCGAAAATTCAATACTAGTCCAGTCGCCTATCTCAATTAGGAAAAATGTCGATAACAATATTTCAGTTAGTGATGAATCATTTCGGGACTACTCTTGAAAGTGTAGGTTAGAATGTTATATAATTATTTAGATAGTATTAAGATCCAATCTTGACATGATATAACGCGGTCCTTAACTGATTACATAAGCCAAACAACCAGGTAACAAATGTTTCATCCAATTGGACCGCAGACCAGGGTAATTAAAAAATGATTGATTGTCATTATTCAGCTATCATATTTACTTGGATTAAAAAATACCCAATAAATGAAAATTTTGTCGAAATGTTCAAATATGTAAGTTTTTCGAAAAATAAATGAATATATCTGACTATCATAATATTATAGTAGGAGACCGTCATCTGATAACGAAATGTTGAAAGTTCCAAAGGCTTGTAAAAATATTGTTTTTATTGAACAGCACATGTGCCAATCACTGTCCTGAGCAAAGTGATTGAAAAATGGCACTTCTGTGTTGCAATCAATCTCGCGATTTCATAACAAGATGAGAATTATGGAAATCAATTGAATTGAAGATCTCAAAAACCTACCTTTGCCAACCCTCCATCTGATTATTTGCATTTTTTTTTACTTGTCATATCTCATCATCATTTCATAATTGGATAATAACATTATGTATCTCTATTATAAACAACTATGTTTCTTGCGGTAATAAAGACGATCAATCAATCAATCAAATCAACTGCACAGCGATTTATTTGCTGCCGTTATTCCGGACATACAGACATACGACTTGAAATCGAAAGCGAATCAAAGGGGATAATGCGAACATTCAAACTTGCCGAGATTCAATGTGGGCTAAGTTAGTGGCAGGGTGTCAGTATTTCCGAGAATATTTCGCCCCTGTCGAAAGATAATATCCCATGGACCAGTGTGAAACTCATGACGGAAGTATGTCCGGAATAATAGTAGCAAATAAAACGCTGTGCCTTTGATTTGACTCAGATTGAGGGGTGGCACAGCTAAGTTTTTGAGATCTCTCATTCAATTGGTAACAGATGACATAATTCCCTTCTCGTTATCAAATCGCGAAATTGAGTGCGAATTCCCGCACATGGAATCATTTTGCTCAGGATAGTGATTGGCACAGGTGTCGTTCGATAAAATCAAAGTATTGTCACAAATAAGTAATAATTCCAAAATTATAATCGAAATCATTGATTCAATATTTTCATAATTTCCAAATCGTGCTTCTTTCATCGCACCAAAGATCATACATACCCTAGATAGTCAACGCCTGTATAAAAATTGGCAACGCTCCGATGGGAACTAACAGACCGGCGGCTAATCGGCTGTGCTATTCGTTGACCAAATATTATCGGTGGAATACGCGGCGTTATAATGAATAGATGCGCACAGCGGATTATCACCGCCCTGTTCGTTCCCAATTTAGCGTTGCCCATTCTTACATTTACGGTGCTTATCTAGGGTATGTATGATCTTTGATCGCACCGAAAGTTTATAGACATTTGGTACACGTTTTGGCATTGACTCATCAACAACCTGTACGACTGAGTTGCCTCCAACAGCAACGTACCTAATCAATAACAGTACTTGAGATTTCAGATGAATATAGATTTGTGGATATTCCAGGAGGTAGTTGATGATCGGTATTCGAATAGTTGCTCTCGGTGGTGTAAACTGTCGATTTGTTCAGTCGGTTATCACGTTAATCAGTTTAGTTAGGTCTTTGTGCGTTCTAAAGGACAACCCTATCCGAAAATGGCTCTATCTATATTGTAAGTACTATTTAACCATTTTATATATTGTATGTCGTATCAATAATGATTCCTCTTCTATACGACGAGCATCTAATAAAGGTATCTATGTTTGGAATAGGGTTCTTACTATTTCTCATACTCCTTAACTATTAGTGTCTTGAGTTAATATAATCTACCCTATCTGAGCTACCCTCAAAGACGATCCAGTGGTCTTATCCCATCAGGAAGCCAAGGATCGTGACAGTATCAACATGCATTTGGGACATATATCATTTCGTTATCAGATCGAAATTTGCATCCGGCTCTCGGACTATTAGAATTGTCTATATCAAAAATACTAGTGGTAGTGATCCCAGACCAATACCAAAAAGTGCTTAATAGTCGGTCAGTGCTGTAACTTCTGAATAATCTAAAATCGGATTTTGAAAACTGGTGGCTAGCAAGTATATCAAATTGTTCATTATTTGACAAAACAATGTTCGTTCTATCACTAGAGGTTTCACCAGAAACGACCCCAACTTTTGATTTTCAAATGGAACAGCCTCTTATTTATTCCATAATCGGTTACGACTTATCATAAACGAATTCAACGATAGTTCCCCTTGAAGTGAGGGTAGGTGCGGCACGAAACTCTGCAATTGTTTTTGGATAAACTTCAACAAGTTATTATTAATAAACATACATTTGTTTTGATATACAGGTGGCCCTTTTCAACTCTTAGTGTGGTGACATCGTTCATTGCGTTTCATTAAATATTCTTGGAGCTACCTATTTCGGTAATTTGAATTAGAAATATAAGATTATTTCGAAGACTCCCTTGCATAGATTATTAAGGTTTAATCAATATGAAGGTAATGTTCCAAATGCTTATGGAACTTGTCAAATATATCTACGAAGATTGAGTACTGGTGATTAACTTAAAAAAGAAACTAAAATGTGAAAAGAGAATATTTACTTGCTCAATATGTTATAACTATACAATTAAATTTAAAGTAACAATCATAGAATAAAAAAGACAATTCGGATATTCTGCATGAGCCATCCTCGTTCGCCTTATCTTATTCGTTAAATGTTTTGTTATTGTCCATTATATGGAGAAATTTCATTGACATCAACATCTTAGGTGACTCTGGAGGAACAGATGATCTGTGGTGCCCTCCAGACTCTAAACGAAGAAGCTTGCGAGGATGTCCTAGAAGAAACGGAAGAAACGAATGTAACCATCGATCCTGACGTCCCACAAACGTCGGTCATACCTCCCAGTCCTGAAAGCAATCAAGGTGAATCGCTCGTTAAACAAAATAGACACCAAGATTCTAAAAGTCCTTTGCCCTCGCTTAAGTCTCACACTGTCGTAAAGTTCAATTCGAATACGAAAAATAGCAGTAGTAAAAGGGTCAAGTACGATGATGGTATAGATGGGGCGAGTCAAGTTGAGAAGGCGAGTGCACATACTTCAACATCCAGCGGTGGATCGAGTCAGCATGAAAGAACTAACTTAGGTGATGGCTTCTCTCATGATGCTTAAAACAATTTCCATAACACAATAGTTTGAAAGAATATACACTAGAGGTTGGATACAGTGGAACAAATTGGAATTTAGATGTGAGGCAAACAATTATTACTAATGATTTAAATACAAGGTTTCCTTTTTTGGAGTCTAAGCATACAACGATATCGGTCATTTCCAGATATTTTTTCCCTATTATCCTTACAGAAAACGAATGTATTTAGCCATTCTTGACCATGACATTGTTATAACAGTTTCAAACAACGGATTCAAAGATATTATCATATTTGTTGTAGTTATTAAGAGACAGTCGAAAACAGTAAACTGTATCGCTTACTGTCTTACTTAAGTGATCATAAATCAATTTGCTTTCTCTACGCACATTCAGATCAAATAGTAGTAGGAATCAGAGACAATATTCCAATCAGTTTTCTATCCTGATACCATACAGATGAGATAACCGACTGAAGTGAAGGTAACTGCCAAATCTAGCTGCCAAAGTTCGTTCAGAACATTTATTTGGAACATTCCCGAAACCCGATTCACCGGTGGAGATTGAGACGAAGAGTAACTGTCACACAGCTTTGAGAAAATGACACTCTTGTTCTGAATTTATAATTAATAAATTGAATGTGGGAAATTTCACAAACAATTTAAAGTGATTGTACAGAATTGAATCTGAATGATATACATAAAGTGTTCTTGGGAATTTCTTCAGACAGCGCTGTCATGACTAGGTTTTGATAGGTAATAATTGAGCGCTTTCAAAATACTTCCTTCATTCTTACGGGAATATAAAGATTGAAAAATATTGCTAGTGATTGGTAAAAAAAAATTGGAACCTTAGTGGTGAAGAATATCATTACCACAAGACCTTATAATTTCGGCTGATACCTCGGGATCTTGGTCCTTATTCAAATCTTACTTATGCAAATATTTATTTTATTACACAGTTGATTATATTCATCAGATTCAACAGATGAAAGCAAAATATTTTTTGTTGTCACTATAAACAAACGAAGCAATATCAGTATTCTTCTCATATATTAGTTATCATAACCTGCTCACAATACAATCTTAGTTTTTTCTTATATAATATTCAACCTCTAGAAAATTTGTTAAATATTCAACCTCTAGTGAACTTTTTCATTTCATTGAGCCATTCCAGTATTCGGTTACCTCTAGTATGGGCATTAGTCTACAGTATTAATATTAACAAGACCATTTTATTTGTCACACTAACCACTTATTGATGATCAATCAAAATGAATGATATTAGAAAATCGATTATTTGAACACTCCATGGTATAAACTGATTAGTTCTTCTGTAGAATATACTCGCTCAAATATTATTGAACCCGTATCTAACCCATTATTTTCAGTATGCAGTTATTGAATTCACAATATTGCATGAAAACTCTGAGACAATTGTAGGAACTTATCATGAAATGATCAGTCTTAGTGATATTTGAATTTTATTTATTTGTAGTTAGGATTTTCAATTGTAGTGTATTTTGAGTAATAAAATAAATTGAATATGCATGTTGTTTTATTTTTTCACAATGAAAGTAATTATACAGTATGATTATAAATATTTCGAATTTCAGTTATTTATATATGTGAATGCAGTGATTTCAATCCATGCACCCTAATATCTTCATTGTTTTGAATTTAATTTACTGACAATGTTGAAACACCTCATCGTACTGAATTTCAGTCGATAATTTCAATTTAAATTCATTGCTGACCTAGGGTGGGTTTAAATAAAAATGTATGGTTATGTTATTTGTCGAGTTGTCAATTTGTCAAAAGTGAATTTCTTGAGATACAATCTGTTAATGACTATTGATGGTTGGGTTTGGTTTCAGAATAAACAGGTTGATTTACCTAAGGTTGAGAATAATTGTTGAGTGTGTTATCTAACCAAAATAGGCTGAAATAATGCAAATTCTGAAGAAAAATAGGTATTATATAAATGGATCCATTCATGCCATGCACGAATTCACATACTACATATCCACGATTACATTTCACGAAATTTCAATGCTCTGCTCCATAATACTTGATTTTTTATTCACAATATTTAGTTAAATCAACCTGAACTGGGTTCTGATCTTCAACAAAACAAGGGAGAAATGAGTATGTATGGATTTGTACAAGTTCCTAATGTATATTTTGAGTCCGTTCTTAACTCCTAAATTTACAACATAATGATCTGCAATTTTTTTTCTGAATGCGAAGTCATATTTTCTATTTTTCCTACACATCTAGAAACATTTTGATTCTGAGAACATTTCTTCCAATTCAAGAACAAAGCAGAGCTGAACTCTCAAAATATACAGAGTTGTACATACAGGGTGAATCTGAAAGAGAGGTTTTTCATTTAACAGGGTATATATATCGCCAAAATGAGTTGTTTGGCCAAAAATTGTTTATGTGAAAAAGGTAAAAAAAGGTGTTTGATTGTTTTTTCTTATGAAATATTGCAACTGTAGGGTATCTAATGCTGGACTAATATCGGCTTTTCTGCGTTTTTTGAGAAAATGTAAACAAAATGTTTTATAGTTGCAGTCAGTCTTCATAAAACCTTTGAATACCAGAATCTCCGGCATCTTAAATATTTTACATGAACAATTTTTTGCTAAACAACTCATTTTGATGATATATAGATCCTGTTTGAAAATAAACTTCACTTGCAGATTCACCCTGTATATACAGTGTGACCCACTTCTAATGGAAACACCCCTGTATCTTACGTAATCGTTGGGTATGGATCCTGAAATTTGCTGGAGCGAGAGATTTACGAAAAATGCACTCTATGACCAAGTGGGATAATCTTCAGTGATATACACTGCTCGTCAACAGCCATGGAACCACCCCAATTTCCGGAAAATGATATTAGGAGTCTCTCGCTCCAGCAAATTTCAGGATCCTTACCCAACGATTATGTAAGATACAGGGGTGTTTCCATTAGAAGTGGGTCACTCTGTTATGAAATCTTGATTCTAAACAATTTGTATATCCATAAGCATTTATTAAGGCAAGTATTTTATCGTGATTTTTTTCAATCATTTTATGAGTTTGTGTCGATTTGTTTATGTTGGTGAATTCAATAGCTGTGTATTCATGTGCATGTATATATAATATCGACTATGCTTGTAAGAAAATAAATGCATGTTAACACTTTGTTTTGTGCTTTGTATGATTGCATGTATTTTCACTGCCATTCACTATGTTTGCTTGGGTTTGTTACTGTCACTTTTATAGATTATTACCATACCTGCTTTTCAACTCCAAATTGGGACTGGTAATTCGAATGTGAGGGGAAAACGGGCATAATATTTCAGAATTAAGAATACAATACATTCAGAATATTCTTTGGAAAGAATCAGAATGGGAATAATGACAACTACGAAGATGCCGCAATGCTCAAAGTGAAATGAAATGATGAATAAATACAAGAAGCTCAAAGTTATCTCCACACAATGTTCATGAAATGAATAACAATGGTAGATTTCGGGAGAAAAACAGGTACTTTCCTGGTTAATGCCACGCAGCACATTGAATTACATCCTTCCGAAACAGCCACTCCCGTTTGGGAGTTGTGGTTTTGGAGTATTTCTTTCCTTTTTTTCGACTCAGGTGGGATGCTCTCTGATTTTTTTATGGAGGACGCCTCTGAGGGAATATAATGCCGACTTGTGTTTTGTTTGGCTAGGCTACGCTTAGTCGGTAGTCTTCGGACTGGAGTTACATATAACCCCTGCCAAAGCATATCCAGACGCCGCCACTGGAGTCCATGTGCCGGATCACCTTCAATGATAAACACCGGTAGAAGCTGACTAAGGATTCTCCCCGTTATTCATCTTGTATTTTTTATTAGTTTGCATTCTTCTCACCTTTTATCTTTCATACCAGAAATTATCTTTGCAACTCTGAATTATTTTCGTGAAATATCAATTTATTAGTTTTCATTGTTTTCACTGAAGTTATGAAAGGAACGATTTTCATTTCAGTTAGATAGAAGTCTTTTTCTGTAATACTTACCAGCTTATGCTGAATAAAACCAAGTTCAAAAATTGTTCTTTATTCAGTATTAGAGTAACCCTTTTACTCAAAAAGTCTCAAACGAAACTCTGGTGGCTGGAGACCGCCCTGCACTGATGAGAGTCAAAGAGCTCGAAACTGGCCTGGCTCAATTGAAATCAACAGGCATTCAGGAAAGAATCACTTGTATCAGTATTCGTTTATACGAGTCGATGCTTAGATTTCGGGAGGATTTTCTGCGTGGCATTAGCCAAGAAAGTAGTTGTTTTTCTCCCGAAATCTACCATTGTTGTTCATTTCATGAACATTGTGTGGAAATGACTTTGAGCTTCTTTTATTTATGGGAATAATGGTTCAAGTAACTAACTTATAAACTTTGAATCAATTGAACACAATCATGAAAATTGAGACTAAAGCTGAATTATCGTATGTCTCCATGAATGAATTTTATTTTCATATGAAATGTCACCAATATGACAACTCTCAACGACTTTCAATGACAACATCAACTATTCACAAAAAAGTGATGATTTTAGGTGACATAAGCGAAAAAACTTTGTCCTAAGTTTTCCAGCGACAAAACGGAACCCAACATTAAAAACCATGAATTGTGAACGAATCTTCATGGCCTTTCTGTCAATTTTTGTCAATCTTGCGTTCTCAGAGAAGTATCTAATATGTGTAGTCTTTGAGTATTTCTCCACTCAATCCACCATCAACTCA